GAAATAAAAATCTAACGAAACAAGTCGTTGTGTCATTTCAGTTTTAAGTTTTGTAAAAGTTAAATTTATTTCACAATTTTGCCATATCAAAAGAGAATGTTACTACAAAGTCATATTTGTCTAGTTTCACACGGCTATGCGTGGATGGAAAATAGGTTGTTTGTTGAACGGTGAGGATGGACATGTGTCTGTCATGAGCTTTGAGATTACTGTTAATTTAGCTGTTGTAGTTAATACTATAATATATTTATACAACATTTAAATCTCATAGTTCCTCGCCTTGTCCCTTTTTTCACTCTTTCTCTACCGTCCTAATTCCGCTTCCAAAATTCAATATTATGTATTATAAGTTTTCCCGTTTTAAAAACATGTTACAAATCATGTAAGTGGCTGAAATGCTAACCGCGAAAATGAAACGACCATGTTTTTTCCAAATTCTCTCTGTGATATTTCCTTTAAAACTCAAAAGCACGCTACTCCGACAATATGTTATATTGACATGATTTTACTCAGACATTACGCCACTCCGACAATATATTACTTCGACATTACTTTACTCAGACACTACGCTACTCAGACTCGACAACACAGACGAGATGTTTCTTAAAAAAATCTTTGTACTGAACTACATTACAAACCTAAGTAGGAAATGATTTCTTATTATATATCGATCAATATAACAAAAAAATCATATATTCGAAAAATTATTTATTATTAATTAAAATTATTAAATAATTAATAATTAATTAAAATTAAAATTATTATTAAAATTAATTATTATTTATTATTTTTAAAAATTACGCGCTGCCTACTGCGCTACAGAGGCTATTATTGGTTATATGAAGTGTAAAAAACAAAAAATTATTAAATTAAAATATAATAAAATACACTCTTTAATGTGTATAAATACATGAAATAATTTTTTTTATCGAGGGTCCAAAACAAGCCAATATCGTCGGTGTTTTGTAGAAAGGGCGAAAGCGCCATTTTGAACAAATTTTTTTCGTTCTTTTTTTTAAGTTTTAGTTTTTAACGACTGATTTCAAATATTTACGACCTGTTTTAAATTCAATTTTAAAACTTAAATTTAATTGAATCCAATAATTAATGTTAATATATTTGGTATAAGTATTTTAAAACAGTCGTTTAAAACAGTGGGAGCATTCCCTGGAAAATTTGTTCAAAATGGAGCTTTCGCCCTTTCTAAAAACACCGAACGTTGTTGGCTTGTTTCAGACCCTCGATAAAAAAAAATATTATTTCATATACAAGTACATAAGTCGTTTTGACTTATGTACTAATGTAAGTCGTTTTGACTTATGTACTTGTGCCTTGGGACCCCAGAATAAAGCGTAAGTTATTCAACCGCGTTTTCTTCGCTGCCGCTGGGTTTGTCGCTGTAGACTAACTCGAAATATTGTAAAGAAGTATCGATACACGGTTGATAACAAGTGCAAATTAATAGATGTTAAAGTACCTCCACATCTCGAAAATTAGAATGCTCTACATCTAAACATCTGCAAAAAAGTTAAGAAATCAATTATTTTAAATTTATTATATTAGTCATCCGAAATAAACTAAGCATTATATTAATAATTGACTATTATAAAAATTTTAAAAAATTACCATAATTGTGTAATAAGTTCAGTTACAATAATATTTTCCTAAGAAAAACGTATTTATCCACCGACTTAAAAAAAGGAGGAGGTTCTCAATTCGACTGTATCTTTGTGAACCGATTTTTATGATTCTTTTTTGCTGGATAGAGGGTACAGTCAAAAGCACATCAAGTTTGGACATGAAGTTCTTATCGTAACCGGCATAGGGTTGGATTTAAGTCTTAAGTATAAAGCTTGACGTGCTCTTGACCGTGTACCTCAGCATTGGTCCCATTTAAATTTGAAGAAAATAAGGTTTCGCGCACTTTTCGCCAACCGATTTCAATAAAACACGGCAAATAGATGTAATTCCACGAACTTTTTACGTAGATTTTCTATCTATGGTCATATAGAATATATAGTTCTAAATTTGAAAGCGATATTATTTTTTATATTATAATGTACACAGGTGTTTACGTTATAATTGGAATATTATGTGCGTCTGAACCTCTATCAATCTATCTATCGATATACTTAGGCTATAAGTTAACTGGACATACTTTATACATAATTACCTAACTATTTCCTATTGTATGCACGCATATAAAGTATAAAACCTTGACCGCATTGTAAGTTAGTATCAAAACCCTAAAAAGAATGCTAAGTTATCTTTACATCCACGCCACATCCTTAGGCAAATGTTGAAGCGTCAAGTGACAGACGTTGAAATATATTTGATAAAGACTTAAGTCGAAACTGACTTCATGCAGCCGAGACCACGACAGCATGAAGTTGATAACGACTTCACGCATTAACTGCAAACCTGCAGTCAATCTGATAGCAGCCTAAGCAGGATATAATTTTAAGGGTTTTTAAACATGTAGGTAACCTACCCAATACCACTAAAATTATAATAATGATGATTCTGATAATGACTGTGCAAGGATAGAATTGAAGTTACTTATTTGAGAAATAAAAGAAAAAGAAAAAAAAATATATGATGTTTTCTATAAACTGAACGTCGTACTTACAATTGAAAAAGTTGTCCAAATCATTTTTTATACACATTACAAATTGTTGTATATTACATAATTTCTATTAAGTGCAACTTTATTGCGCATCCTCATTTTAAAATGTAGTGTAAGTGTAATTTTTGGGAAACCGACAGAATAGTAGGCAAACATTACGTAGCTACGTGGCGCCTGCAGTATAAATAATGCCAAATAATTTAGTCAATTCTATTTCATATAGATAAAGAGATCTTCAAAAAAGGAGGAGGTTCTTATTTCCTCTGTATTTTTTTGTATACCTACTTAAACTACGCGATTACTCCGACATTTTAATTTGTGAAGATTTCTATGATTCTTTTTTTGTTGGAAAGGAAGTAGCTTTTTAGTAGCAGTGGAGCTCCTTGTGAAAGAGTCCGTCCAGAATAGTACTGTCACCTTACCTATTTCTGACGTTAAGCAATGGTAATGTCGCATTGTTGTGTTCCGGTTTTGAAGAGTAAGGGTGCTGGTGAAGTTACAGGCACATGGGACTTGTCAATTTACGTCTCAGGGTGACGGGCGCAGTGGCAGTGCCCCTCAGACAGCACTGCAACTATTATGGACAGGCGTGTAGCTTACCATCAGATACACGACTTGTTCGCCCCGTCCCTTGACATTATAAATAAACCTCAGAATTGGTCTCATTCAAATTTGAAGAAAATATTCCACCTCTAAGGGTGACAAATTACAGGTGAACCAGTTTACTGAATTTCATTCACCTTCTGCTAACTGATTTCTATAAAACTTTGCACATATATTTAATTCAAATGGAAATACAATATTATGGTAACATAGAGCTGATCCGATGATGGAAATGGCAGGCAGATGAGAGGAACGTTGTATTTGGGATCATATGAGTCATTTTGACAAGAATTTCCATGTGCGTTTCAGTTATCGATGAGGACACGGTAACGAACAGCGAAAACGGATAAACAAACTTTTAAAGTCGTTTTTTTTATTTTATTAATCACTTATATTTCATACAGTCCAGAGTACATCAAGTATGGCACTTTGAACTTGGGGCAAAATTTCTTGTCGCCAACGTCGTAGTGTCGAATTTAAGTGTGACTTGTTGTGTTGTTGACCCCATATCTAGGAGGATGGAAAAAAACCCTATATAGGTTTTTTGTTTATTTAACGGTGTCCCAATATTTTAGAATTAAATCGGGTGCGATTTGTTTGTGTATCTGCTTACAAATCTTAATTACGAAAAGATAGAAATATGTATTTTGGTCTACACTGTACGACAATAATATACGGTATAATAATACTTTTAAAGTGGGACAGCTCTATTTAAAACAGAAGTTGTTTTGTTCGACCTTCATTCTACCACAAAACAGGTACCTACCGTATTCAAAAGTGGACAACATTTTTAATCGTCAGTGATGTATTTAGCTGAACATTTTAATACTTTAGACTCAGTAAACAAAATATATGAAAATGGCCTATAAATTCGTAATAATAGTAAAAAATTGTTACTATACAGTTTTTGTAATTTCTCTAAACAATGAATCATAAAATGATTCGAAAAAGATGTAAAGTCAATTGAAAGTGGAAATTGCACGATTACCCGAAACTGTTACGCCACATTTAACAAAAAGTCCAAAAACTACAATGAGGTTGCCTCAGTATTGTTTTATCCCAGTGCCTACACCAACTAAATAAGTAAGCAATGTTTGTTCATGACATTTGAATACACAACGTTATTGTATAACTGTACTAGTAATTAGACCGTAAATTTTCTTAAAATGGAAAATAAATAAGGTGTGTATTACAGCCAACGTTAAATAAGCTTAACTGCAATTTCAATAAATAATATTTTGCGCTACGTCTTGGTGTAATAAGATAACATCTGCAGATGGAGAAGTCAATATTCTTCAAATGAAATTAATCAATAATTTTTTAGGTAGTATTTTATATTAGATGGGATATGATATTTCACATATACCTGCATAATCTGTTTCAGTAGTTCGTATTATTTTTATGATTTTCATGTGATAAAAGAACTTTTGACTTATGATCACATGTGGCTGGCTAGATATACAAATATACCAAAGGGTATGTTCCATATGATATATTGACAAGTACGGAAATAAGTTTTTTCGGAAATGAAAAATCCCCCTTGCGCTCTGTCTTCTGTAATAATATCGGATTTAATGCTTCTTGTGTACTCCCAATAGGTAGGTGGCTTCGCACTTCAGTTGCCCGAACTAAAGTGACTTTTTCTCAGTCGTTCTGTCACACTGGTATCTTTTTATGCATGTGCTGTATGTAACGTCTCAGCACTGTGCAAATGTTCTATCTTATGATTTATAGGTAGCTTTTACCAAAAAGTCATTCTTATACAACTTACCTGAACTAAAATAGCCAAAAGCAAACACAAACAACGTCAACACTTGTACTAGATGCATTCTGAATTAGTCAGTTCGATCTTTTTATAAATCTAAAGTTATAAAAAACTATGTTAATCAACTTATCACATTGGTTCACAAATAATGGCACTAAGATGCTGTGTTGTTGTTGGATGCCGGGTGTCCACTGCGGGCGGCGCAGCGCCGTAGCGGTTGACGAGCGGTGCTGGCACACCAGTTGCATAAGAACTTGGTATATTACAACCATTATTATATGATATCTGACAAGCTAATTAATGTTAGTAAATTTTAGATATAGTGACCTAATCGCTACATTAGCTTGTTATAGTTCGCCACACATTTGGTAAGCGCATTGGCGATGACAGTAATGCCAAAATGTACATTACAGGAAGACGCTGCTGTCTATTTCCCTCATTAACCATTCTTCTACCATCAGGTTAGGTTAGGCTAGGTTTAGCAACCGGGAACTCACTATCACCTTATTCTCATAATCCGTTCATTACGGTTCTATGAGAATTGCCAAAGGTCTGACTAAAATGGACGTACAGATTATCATTTTGGCGGACACCAATACTTTCGCTACATTTTGTTACTCTAGTGATTATCATCAAGCCTCAAGTTCTTTTCTCTTACAACGGCGAATCATAGTAATCAATATGTCGGGCACATGAGAAAAGTCCTTAGATAGATAATGATCTCGCCCTTGCTAGTAAACAGAGTGCAAATAAATGGAATAAGCAATTATTAACTTTTGTGGCCATGGCTTAACACACCGTTCATAATAGTTCTACACCGGTAGGGGTTAAATATTATTAACTTTCACATATAGTATTTCCAAAACAAAAATGAAGCTTGTCTATGAAATTTTAATAGGACAGTTCCATTAAGAATTAGGGCTCCCCTTTTTTAAGTGTGTAAGGCGGTGCACGAAAGGATCATAATTTATGCCATCGATACGTTAAGAAGTGTGTAAAAATAAAGTCGGCCACTAATTCTTTATTAAATTAAATTTACCAAAATCAGATATGTTCCAGGACGTAAGATAAAATACGGGTACGAAAGTGTTAACATGAATGTTAATAAAAGAAAATTACATAAAAATGCGTTAGTTTAATCTGTTATGAATGTCCATAAGAGTTACATTCATTGCACATAGAAGTCTATGGACTTACAAAGACATGTCTCATAGTAATTTCCATTTACTATGAGATATGTTTTTGTAAGTCCATATTGTTTTTATCTACACACATATAATAAACTCTCTATAATGTGTTCAAAAACCGCAAATTACGACCACCTTAGAGGTAAACTGTTTTGTTAGAACAAATTAATTATCTGTGAAAATATTATTGCTTCATACCATCGAGTATACAACCAGTATACTCTGTGCTTCATACTAACATCGAATTCGAATCGAATTCATATTTCGAGCATACCTATTATATCATGTTTTTTATTCTCAGACAATCACACTAATTACCTGATTTCAGACTAAGGTGCTATCGGGTACTACACCAGAGTAACGAAGTTACCTCCAGGATCTAAGATAAAACTCCCCGACTAGCTATTTAGATGTTTTCTTTCAGGAATCAAACTCAAGACCGAGACCAAATGCCCATAATCGCGCTAGCGAATTAATTAATAATTTGTTTATAGTAGGAATATGTATCCTGTATATTGCGAACTTCATAATTGTGTACTTTGCTTTATTTTATGTATACTTTAAAAACTACAATATGTAAATATTATTGCACGTCCCCACTTGTAAGGAGTTTGTCAATGCGTGACGCATTTTTGTGTATTACTATCTTGAGATCGTTGATTTTGTCTCGTTTCTCATCAATATCTACATCCAGCTGCCTTAGTTTCGAATGAAGAGGGTACAACGAGTCCTCATTTGCTCTGAAATGAAGAAAACTTAGTTTTATGTCAATGTAACACACATTTATCGATACTTGTAGGTATATTTATTTCTTTACTTACGTCTTTTCTTTTTGCAATTCTTTCGAAGCTTCGTCGTAAGTTTTCATCCACTGTTGCAATTCCTGCCTCATCACCTCTACGTCTTCTTGAATGTGATCCAATAATTTACCCAGGGGATTGGTTACTCTGGACAATGCTTGAATATTAAACCTTAACTGTTCAACCTCTTGATTGACAGCTTCTCTCGCTTTTTGAGCACCAAATTGCCATTCCTGCAAACATCTTACATAACTATAAAACATTCTCGAGACAGGTAAGTAAAAGCCAAAATTACGCAACTTACGATTTCAGTCTTTCCCGCAGTTTGAGAAAACTCCTTTTGTGAGTCTAAAATCTGTTGCACTAAATGACCATGTTGGTTTGACGAGATACGATGTTCTGGGTGATCGTTGTTCGTTGTTGAAGTTTCTGTAGACTGATTTATTATTATTATACTTGCGTCTTCCTCCTAAAACGGAAAGCTTAGATAAGTATGTACTTTGAGCACAAGAGTATAGTAAGTACTCGTTTTAAGTAATGTTCCCCTTACCTCCTCTTCGTTTGGTGTATTTTCAACTATGATATTAACTTTACCTACAAGAAGATTGTCGTTACCAGCTAAAACATTCTCGTATTTTTCTCGTAATCTTGGTGCTCCTGGTCTAGAAGACGAAGGTCTAACACTTTTAGGTCTCGTAACATGAGCACTGCTATCCACTTTTTCAATTTTATTAACTTGCGTTGCAGTGACTGACTTACTGTGAACGCTACTTTTGTCTGTATCTTTTGTTAGACTTTGTGGCCCACTGCTAGTACCATTACGACTTGATCTCGTACCCTCATCTGTATTTAATGTAGTACTTGTATGAGAAAAAACTTTTAATTTACTTGGCTCGTAATGGTCATGTTTAACTTTTGAACCAAACTCATTAATGTGTGTATTTTCTATACGATTTTCTTCGACATTGTCATTATCCACTTCCATCAAATCTTGCGATGATAATGATGAATTCAGATCATTTTCAATGATTGTAAAAGAAGTGTTGCCCAGATCACCTTGTTCTGGATTTGATATAATTTGAGGCGGTGTTGTAACGACACCGTCAGTAACATCGTGCTTTTCAAGAGACACTCCAGAATCTTGATCATGACCATCGTTTTCATTTGTGTTTTTCACGCTTTGTACATTTTCGGTCTCATTAGGTACGGCAACTATATTTTCAGGTGTAACATTTTCATGATTATTTTGCAGCTGTTTATCAACAGAATTCTTTTTCAAAATAGTTTTAGTTTGTTGAGAGCTTTTTTTAGGTGGAATATCTTTCTTGGCTACAGTGTTATCTTTTTGCTTAGTTTTGGCTGCATTAACTTTGTTTACTTTGTCTTTTTCGTTTCTGGTTAGGGACCGATCTTTCGGATCTGTTTTATTGCTCGGGAGAATGGTTTTTGATGCGAGTTTCTTTGTCTCATTTACAGTTTTCACAGATTTCGCCGCGTCCTTTCTTATTGTATCTCCAGATGGTTTTTCACCGTTTTTTACCTTTCGCACTGCTTCATCGGATGACAGTTTTTTATCCAACGCGAAAGCGAGACATTGAAGTAATTCATTGGTGTTCTCAGGTTCTTGTCCAGCGACTATTTTGGATGATTTTACTGTCAAAGCTTTTCCTGTCGTTAACCCTGAAAAATGGTATAATTATATCTATAGTGATAATTATAAGGCATTGCACTGCACAGACTATTTATTTAGGGTTTGAATTGGGAATTTAAACAATATTAAATGCATAAAAATCAAAACGTGCCAGTTGGTCATTTTTGGAGTTGCGCTCCTAAAAATCATTCATTCATTAATCATATTATTTGGCAATGGTATTGTGCAGGTTCGGTAACGACACGTTCACCAATACAATTACAATTAAAATTCAACTCTGGCTATACCTAAACATACAGCTAAAACAAAATGCACAAAAAATGCGTGCCTTTGACTGTACCTTTAGATATCTTATATTATCTTACATATTACACTTGATATCTTCACTGTCGCCGTCGATTCAATAACTCTACTATTCATTTGTAAAGCAGTTTTCCCCGAAAAAGAGAATGAGTAAGAAACTCTAGTAATTGCTCCTTGCCAATAAACATTTGTATACATTTATAACTTACTATATTTATTTTTTAATGTGATATATCAAGACAACCTGCAACCTATTTTAGCATACTTACCTATAACAGCTATAACTTTATTAAGAAATGTAATTTTACTTTCCCTATCCTTAACATTATCAGAGACCAGTTCATGATCTTCAAATAGACCTTCAAAGAATCCCGTTGTCTTCAGTACCTGGAAAAGATATTTTTTTGTGATACCAACGTACTTAATTAAAAAGGTAAATATAAGGAAATGTTACATTCGATAATATCTAGGTTACAAACATCAGGCACTGTAATGTAAGTGAAAAATTTTCTTGGTCATATTAAGTCATCAATACTCGATGTATTACTATTAAGTATTATAACAACGTGTGAAACGTATTACCTACGTTCATGATTCATCCATTTTGTCGCTACAAATTCTTTTAAGTAATTAAATCAATACTTACTGTCGTCACAATATCATGCAAGAATCTAAAAGGTGGTTTCTTCAACAGTTTATCAGTAAGCGGTGGACGCTTTACATATTTGCCCAAAGAATTCTGTGTTGCTTTTATCACCTCTGAATCCAGTTCCTTTTCCATGGCACATTATTTTTATAGAATATTTGTTCCAAGAAAATTATTTATGACTTGAAATAATTCAATTAACGAGTGTTATAAAAATATTGACAGAATCAAGTTGACATCATATCTGTTTACACACCGTTACCGTGGCAACCAAAAATGCTGTTCTTCGTCACGTGGCGACCTAAGCGAGATTCCGTAGGGTAGGACGCAACAACGTACTCTAATAGCACTATACTATATTAGCACTATACTCAATAATTTTATGACTTTGTATATTAGATGGAATCAATCGAAAACCGTTAGGTAAAAATGTTTAAACGTAATGTGTAAACGGTATTCTTTACCTTTTCAAAAATTCTGTGTTTTCCGTTACCAATACCATTTCAAATAACTAAGTAAATAACTAACTAGTTTAAACAATACAATACCGTTCGATAATCGATGGACGGAAGTTATAGATTAGTTAACTTACTTCTTCTTCTTTTTGCTCAAAGGCGATGCTCTTTGTAGGATTTCGCCAGTGTCAAGTTTGTAAAAATAATATCTAAAATTATGGCGAACATTGCCAATGTCAAGTTTTTCCTCTTTATCAGCCCTTCATTTTCCATTCTCTAAGGTACCAGCTAACTTTCTGAGGAATGATCCTATCTTATCAAACAACATTTAATTTTATCTTACAAATATTAACGGATCTGTCGCCAAATCAATTCAATTTTTCCGCCGGCCGCTACGATTCTGCACACAGACATATATCTAGATAGATGCCGCAAGTGTACGTACTTCGCGTGCCCAAAGTTCGTGAAATACACTTACTTGCCGTTGCTACACTTCGAACGCGCTCGACCGTTATCGTAAATAAACACCAGTCGAAAACGCGAAAAATGCATAATTGTGCCATTATAAACAGCAAAAGCACCATAACTGTGGGTAAATGGATAAACAGTGACGTTTCCTTCCACGGGCAAGTGATTTTGTAATCAGAAGATGCATAATTTATTTTAAAAACAATTATTTTGGTTTTGTATAATTTCGAGAAAACAATTATGCAGCCCAGTGTATGCCTCGTATTTGTAATACATTGCGGCTTTTACTTGGTCGATATATTTGAGATTCTTTGTTAATAAGCCATGAATATCGAACGAATACACTTTTGCATAATGCGATCAGTTTCTGTGGTACGGCCGCGTGTGTTTTTTTGCCAAATTTAACATTTAGTGATGTATGCGTTAGGCAACACTGTTCTCGATTCTGATCGATTTTGAAAACAAAGGGAAAAAAATTGTTATTACCTTAGCAATATTATAAAAATATTCTATAACTCTTTTGTTATAGCGTTTTATAACGTTTCGTTCTTTTTTTCAGTTTTGTAGTATCTATTATCAGTACTTAGCATCTGTAATTTGGATAATTTTTGCAGCACTTTGCCTCGAATGTTCGAATATAGTGAGCAAATAATTACTTATTACTATTATTTAATTATTACGAGTAATAGAATAAATATATAATGCACAGAATTAACAGTGCGCTGTCTTTACAAAAACCTGGAGTTGGTCATACGTATGAGTTCGTTGCTTTCGAGGGCGAAAGTGGTCTAGTTCATCCTAGGTACCTAAGATGCTATCCAAATAAGCAGAGTTAGAAATCCGAGAAATAAGAAACAAATAACAAAAATTTCACACGAGCCCATCATTAAGTAAACCTCGTCTGATTAATAAGATTTTACCATATTTTGTCTGTAGTAAAATTTTCATTCGTCTTGCCATTCGTCAATTTGATCAATTACCAACAGAAAACGATCTAGTAAAATTAATTGAGACAGTCGCAAGTTCATATATTGAGGTGCGTTTTTATTATTTAAGTTAATCGATACGATCTTCTTTTACAAAAAGATGTTACATAATAAGCTCATTTTACTGGAAGGATAATAATTTGAATACTTGAAGTCGATTAAAAAGGAAAATCTGAATTTTTTTTTAAAGTAAAATAAAGGACTAAAGTACCTTATTCTAGTATTTTTCTACTATATTAATATTACGATTACTTGTAATCAACAAATACTTACTTAAACAAAAATTATTCTATTTAAAATCGGTTCATTCAATGGAATACGCGTGTTTACGCATATTCCGTTAAATCAATCGATCGAAAAACACTTAGTGCCGCTTCTACCCTTCAGAACAAGGACGAAGGTGGTCTAGTTTATCCCATCAAAGATGCTATCCAAATATGCAGAGTGGCAGAGTTGGAAATTCGAGAAATCATGATCAAATCGCAAAAACTTTACACGAGGCCGACATTAAGTAAACCTCTTCTGATTAGTAAGATTTTAGATATTTTGTCAGCAGTAACATTTTCAGTTGTCTTGCCATTCACCAATTTGATCAATCATCGAAGGAAAACCATCTAGTAGATTTAATTAAGGCAGTTGCAAGTTCATATATTGACGTGCGTTTTCATTATTTAAGTCAATCGATAAGATCTTTTATCACAAAAAGACAGTTATGTAATAATTTTGATATTTGAAGTTGATTAATAATTAAAGTTAAATTATTAATAATCAAAATTTTATAAAAACAACTTTTAATAAAGGACATAACTATCTTGTTTTGGTATTTTTCTTCTGTATTAATATTTCACGACTACTTGTAATCAACGAATACTTGAATCGATTAAATGAATGGAATACGTGTATTCCGTTCACTCAATCGATTTGGCGCGGAAGGAGGTTTCCCCTGACTAAGGGTCGTATTCTAGAACTCTACTTAATGCTCAAGTCAGGATTTTAATTGAAACACACGCACTGGAAATACGACTCTAATGGCAGGGACTTGAGTATTATTTCGAGTGCTTTAAACCATACTCAAATCCTGACTTGAGCATTGAGTAGAGTTCTGGAATACGACCCTAAATACTTCTTCTGACGTCATGATGGATACATAAAAAAATGGAACGCTCGGTTTTCACACAAATTGCTGTACTTGCGACGTCTATCTAGATAAATGTCTGTGATTCTGCAGATTAATCATTCCGTTACACGCTGAAATGATCAACAGTAATACGACATTCATACATAACACGTTAAATAAAGTGAGTTTTCAAAGTACCACCGAGATATTTTCTGAACGATCTCTATGGTTTACATATCTGAACACAAATTGTGCTGATGTCAATTTGTAAGTGCAAAATGTTTTCAACGTTAACCTAGCTGAATAAAGAACAATTTTTATTGTACTTTTTTTATAAGATAATATTTTAATGTATGACTTAGTTTGTGAGGTTGCGTACATTGTCACAAGAATCGTGCAAGAATTCAAGCTTGCTCTTGCGCCTGATGCTGCTACGTGGCAGATAGATTTAGTAGCAAAATTCCAGCGCCTGAGTGAAAATTAATATCAATATCGACTAAGCAAATGAGCACCAAGGAGCAGTGATCATCCGGCCCAGGAGCAAATGTAAATGAAAATAAACAATTCACAAAATGCCTCCAAAACGTAAAAAGGCTGTGAAAGCTTCCGACATTGACATCAATATCAAAAAAGTAAAAGTTGAGGACAGTGGATCGAACATTACCATTAAGGAGGAAAAGGTCAGTCCAGAAAGCAAGAAAAAAAAGGGCCGAGTACCGAGGATTCACAACAAACCTGGAATTCGTAAGAGCAGAGTACGTACTAAAATTCATTTTGATTCCAGTAGATTGTTGTTCATTGTGTACGGTGGACCGCAATGCAACACTATAGTACAATTTTCATGTTCGTATTTGCAGATCAATAAAGTGACCAGTGGTGAAGTTTTACAAATATCAAATATACAGTTAATTTTTTTGTTTACTCTTTATGCAATGAAATGTTGGGCCTAATTTTTTATTTTATATTTCTAGCCAATATTTGCTTGTGACAAATGTACTAAAAGGTACAGATTCAAAGACAGATATTTGCAGCATCTTCGCAATGAGCATTCTATATTACCTAATGCAGTGAAGTGTACAAAATGTCCAGCACTATGTCCTAACAAAACTATACTGAAAGCTCACATGGGAAAGTACCATGACAGAGATATATTCAAGTGTCCGCACTGCCAAAAGCAATTTGTTAGGCATGCTCATGTCCTCAGACATATGGCTCAAAAGGGATGTGATGGAAGAGGAATTGCGTCATTTCCATGTGAGGTAAGGCATTTTTATTAATTATCTACTTAGTAGCGGGCCTGCTGGTTACCCACTTGTTTCGACGGAGGCCCTAGCTAGGGTAGGCTGGATGGATTGCTTAGAACTTATAGTTGAAGAATTTACTACACTGCTAATACTATTTATAAATAAAATTGTAAATGTATTTTGCTATCACTCTTTATTTTTCCGATATTTTTTTGACAAGCTATTTTAAACATGTCATTTAAACATATTTTTTCTTTTTGACCATTGAGTGTCTTTGAACATCATGCTCAAACTTTAACATCTTCTCTCAATGAATACCCAATTGACAGACTAATTCTTGTAGCCTGGGTCTCGTTAGAGCTTTGGTAAAAATATCCGCCAGTTGTCCTTCACTTGACACCTTCTTTACTGTAATCTCTCTCTTAGTTACCAACTCTCTGATGAAAAAATGACTTTTCAGGTATGCTTTGTATGCTGATGAAATTCTGGGTTTTCCAGTAGTCTTATTGCTGCCTTGTTATCAACTTGCAAAGTTGGTTTAGCTTTAACTCCAATTAGACTTGTCATAACCCAAGCTAACCAGACACACTCCCTTGCACCTTCACTAGCAGCTACGATCTCCGCCTCTGTAGTCGAAATGGCTACACTTTGTTGTCTTTTGCTCATCCACATAATAGCTCCTCCAGCATACATGCATAGCATGCCTGTGGTTGAGCGCCCCGTATGTATGTCTCTGCCATGATCTGTATCACTGAAGCATTCCAGAACAGTCTTATTTCAGCCATAATTGATTCCGAAGTCTGGAGTACTTGGTACTTGGGTACCTTGGGTACCTTCCATTATGCAAAATACATCATCAACATACATGCCACTTCACATCGTCACTATGTACAAGGGGTGACAGATAAAATAGCTAGGTTGCTAAAGGAGTTTTCCATAAAAACTGTTTTCACCCCCTTAACCAAAATAGGAAAAACGTTACGTTCACCAAAAGACCACCTTCCTCTACAAACACCGGGTGGTGTCTATAAAGTAAACTGCAGTTGTGGGAGCTCGTATATCGGTCAGACTAAACGAAGAATTGTCGATCATATGAAAATCAATGATGCACAGAAGTCAGCTATAGCACAACGTCTCACACAGACTGACACTAACCAATGGATCGAGTTGCATAGCCCCCAGGTATTCTCGACAGAACGTCACTACATACCACGGTTGGTACGAGAAGCCATCGAGATCACGAAGTACAAAACATATAACCGTGATGATGGTTTTAACTGCCTCTGTGGCTGAACGGTTATCATGCCGGACTACCACGCAGAGGTCCCAGGTTCGAATCCCGGGCCGGGAGAAATATTTGTATGACCTACATTTGTTTCTCTCGTGAATTTGGGTGTAAATTGTGCTTGTCTATATGTGTGTCCATGGCACCCGCGACACAGGGTTTCCGTAGTGCGGGGCTATGTTGAGTGTGTGTGTTATTATTATTATAAAACTGTCCAGTGCATGGAATCCGGTCCTTAGTGTGTGCAGTAATAAAAACAAAAACACCTCGAGTTCAGTTTCGCGTGTGAATACAGTGAGTGCGTGTCGCCGTCCAGTCAACCCGTGACCATGGAGCGTGCAACCGTTCCGAAATATCGGGAAAATAAAAAGAAGTCATACCGTGGTAAGAAACCTGGTATTAGTGATAATCATCATCCGAGTCTATTGGAAACATCTGATTTCTACTACCTTCAGGACTCTGATTGTCTTCTCTGACTTCACCGTCACTGACAATTCCATCTTCTTCTCTAACTTGAACGTCGTTCTCTGCATTATGTTGCATAACAGTCGGTCCTTTAGAGGTTGAAGGTCTGTTCCAAACTTCATAAGGAATCTCGCCAATATCCTGATCACTCTCTAGATATGTGTCCCTCCGTCCTTCGAGTGTCGTCCTTCGGACATCCGTCCGAAACAATTACTGCCAAATAAGCAATACTTGACCAAATGAAAAGACGCGTGATGTGAATGAAGCTTCATACTTGACACTTGTCTTTTAATTTTGTCGAATATTACTTATTTGACAGTAATTGTTTCGGGCGGAGGTCGAGAGTAGACCCCCTGAGTGCTTTCTTAATCTGTGGTTTTTTACCAAACCATAGTTCATAAGGTGATTTACCTTCTATAGTAACCGGTCCAGTTCTGTTCAGAATGTAAACAGCTGTTTTAACTAACTCAGCCCATAAGTTTTGAGGCAATTCCTCGTTAGCACACATCATTGAACGCGCGCACTCTACTACCGTACGATTTTCCCGTTCGCTCAAACCATTTTGTTCTGGTGTATAGGGCGTTACCAGGCGTTGTCTTATTCCGAATTCTGCTAATACTTTTCGTACCTTATCATTATTGAATTCACCTCCACCGTCGCTCAAAAGTTCTTGTACTTGATGTCCAGAAGCCAACAACAACAACAACAACAATAACTTCAGCCAACATCTGTCTCAACTTTTCATAGACTTCAGACTTTGTATGTAAGAAATCTAAAACGGGTAAATTCATCTTCAATGATCAAAAAATATCTTTGCTTGGTATACGACTCTGGAAATGGTTCGCAGACATCAGTGTGAAACGTTTCACCAGGTTTTGTGGCTTTTTCTCTAGTACTGAACTTCTTCCGGTGTGCCTTTCCGAAAATACAGCCATCACACAACTCCTTACTGTCAGTTGTTTTTATTCCCAGTTCTCGTTCTAGAATACGACTGACATGCCTTTTGTTTTGATGCCCAAAACATTCATGGTACAATTGTAGCAAATCTTCCTTCTGTACAACTGTGACATAAGTTGAAGGCATCGGTATCAAGGCTTTACAATTCAGAGTAAATAGACCTCCATGTCTCAAACGTTTTCCTGTAACTATGATTTTACCGCCAATCTTCATGGTATATGATTCTACATGTGACTCAAACACACTATTGGGGTTCATATCTTGAGACGCCAACACAGAAAACAAATTTCTTTTAATTGCAGGTACGTATCAAACATTTCTGAGGTAAAACTGACTCGGTTTTCCATTTACAACAGTTGAAAACTTTATGCTTCCTTTGCCTAGTGCCTTGACAATATTTCCATCCGTCGCAGTAACGGTGTGAATGTCTCCAAGTTCGTTAAAATCCTCAAATAAATCTGCTCGAATCGTTACGTGACTAGTTGCTCCATTATCAATATACCGCATCTCAGGATAATTCTCAGCAGAAATAGCAAAAACCGAAGCTAGCGTCATGCTAGACATACCCACAGTTCGTAAATCCTCAGGTTATATCATTCGAGACTTCTTCTTAGGACAATGCATATAGCAATAGGAAATTTTAAATGACCTTTTCCTTGCATATAAAGCAGCGTCTGCTCTCCTCTTTCGAAGTATCCTAATTCTGTTTTAGTACCTTCTGAATTCTTTTCTGTTTATTATCCTTCACAGTAAAAGATTCAACTCCAGACTCTTCGTCGTGACAGTTCAACAGTGCCTTCTCGTGAACACATAACTGACTTGTTAAACTTTCTACTGTTCTGTCCTTCTTTGACATTAGCATCCAACTCGCTTTAAATGAGAAATATGTATCCGGCAAATTATCCAAAATCTTGCAGATTAGCAGAAACTCCGGTAAATATCTTGTTTTGTACCTTCACCTGATTTGACTAACTCCTGCTTCAAAGTACGCCACAATTTTTTCAATTTCGAAATACAAGTCACCATGTCATCTGATGGATGTTTTTTCGCTTTATAAAATGCCAAACAAGCTTCATACAAACGGTCCTCGTTCATGCCGTCGTACAGCCGATGTAACTCATCCCATACATCCTTAGGGTGACAGAATCTCATCACTTTGTCCATGATTTCATCCGAGATGTTGTTCGTGATCAAAAGCAACGCAGTGCTTAAAGATCTCTTGTATTCTCCTAGCATCCGATTGTACTCCCCAAGAACAGAAGTGTCTCCATCACCGGCAGCAGCTACTGTCGCTCAGGTTCTCGTACTTGGCCCTCCACGATATCCATTAATCCGTCGATGCCGTTGAGCATTGCGGACATGCGATAACGCCATTGGACCCGTTATGTCCATCCAGCTTCGTAATCTGAATTTTACACAACTCCATTTTGATCGGATTTTTCCGCGTAGTTTATTAAAACTTCAACAAATATATATAATCACTTAGAACTTATAGTTGAAGAATTTACTACACTTTGCTAATACTATTTATAAATATTATGAAAATTGTAAATATATTTTGCTATCAATCTTTTTCTTCTTCTTTTAAATGTTATGGCCCCATCGAAATAATCGATGATTTCGCCAATGTCAAGTAAAAATAACTATGTACGGTAGTTTAGTATTATTATAAAAATTATACAAAAAAAATGGCGATTTCGCCAATGTCCAGTTTTCTTTTTTTTTCATTTTTCTGGCATATTTTTGACAAGCTATATTTAAACATATTTCTTCTTTTTGACCATTGAATTTCATTGAACATCATGCTCAAACTCTAACAGGATTGTCAATGTTTTTCCCAGTTTGGTAATAAATGTTGCCAATGATTATTTAGTAGTGATGCTTGCAATTTTTTTTTTCTCTTGAAATCTGCAATCAGTCCACTTGACTTCAATTCCACTTTAATTAGATGACTTGGAAGATATAGGGTGTTACAGAAGATTAAGGCCATTGCCTTGTCTCCCCTTAATTGCACAGCACATCTGCTCTTTTCAGTCTTCTAATTGTGGTTGGCAGCAACAGTACTTGGGGCAATTAGGATGCACTTCTAGTCGTTGACTGTAGTGAGCTGTATAGTGTTACGCTTCTTCGAGAACTGTTAGCATTTTCAGATTATTGTGTATTTCGGAGTAGCGAGCATACCAAGGTGCAGCAGTTAATACTCTGAGAATGTTATTTTGGGCTCTTTGAAAGCTAAGTAAATTTGTTTTGCTGGCTGTTGACCACAATTGTACCCCATAAGTCCAGATCGGTTTTATTACACTGCAGTACACTCTCAGCTTATTGCTTAGAGATAAGGTGGACTGTCTTCCAAGAAGCCCAGTACTTTTGTTTTTTATATGTTCACTCCATGTCATCCTATGATCCAAATGTAATCCCAAATATTTGACGCAAGAAACTTGTGGTAGAGTGTCAGGACCTAAATTGACCGAGGGGCAGGTATCACGTCCAAGCGCAAAAGTGATGTGATGAGATTTTGGAGCCCTCACTTTTAGGCGCCATTTGTTTATCCATGCATTGTTGGCATTAAATTGGAATTACAACATTCTGCTTGCCTCATTGGGATCGCGATTACAGGTTAGGAACGCGGCATCATCAGCGTTGGCTGCCACTGCTACATTTGAAACTTGGGATAGGTAGGATTCTTTCTTATGACGGTTATAATCTTCTTATACTCTTCAGCAGAGTTGACAAGAACATGAAGAACAAATTTGTTAATTATTTTGAGTTTGAATTCCTCTTTATTGCTGACAGATTCAAGCAACTTAGATAGTTCGTTAATATCTTCTATGCCACTAAGGACGATTGGTGGAGGTTTGCTAGATTTAGCAATTTTAGTGATGACCGTGTATCTTTTGGGTCTAGGGTTAGGCCACTAAAGCGGTTCTTTGTTACTGTTCTCTCGGGCTGAGGTGGAGATTCATTCATTTTTCTCTTTTTGTTGCTTCGAGGGGGCAGCACTCGTTGCCATGGCAGTGGGGCGGGATATTGAGGATTATTTTCCTCCTAGTTTTCATTCAATGGGGAACTTGGTTCATTTTGTGTGCAATTATAACATCAATCTGGTTGGTTTCAGTAGTCTGCCCTAGGTCACTAAGGGATGTAGAACGTTATTTTATGAATAAGCTTGGGTGAAATATTTGTTGTGTAAGCACTTTTTGATTTGATTTGGTAGTATCATTTGCAGATAAATGATGGTAAATGTTTGCAGAAAAAATACACTATAAGTGTCATTTTAAAAAACTACTGGGGCCTTACCATGAACTCTTATTACAGTTCAGTATAGGTTCGTAACGACAAAAAAGCGGGATGGTGATATACCTACACTCCATGTAGCGCTGTTTCACAACGATTCATTTTAGTCCTAAACTGAATCGTAATAAGAGTTCATGGTAAGGCCCCTGTTATCATAGACTGGTTGATAGGCAGAATTATGAAAAAATTTGAGGGTAGATAAATAAACAGCAAAATTATGCACTTTTCTTATTTGAGTTTTTAGCATTAAATAGTATTTTTTACACTGAGACAACACTAGCACTAGTAAACTATGATTCAATATACAAATAACAATAACTTTATTTGTAAAACACGAGGTTTATTTTTATTTACAACATTAGTACCTTAGACTATTATTTTTTTCCATCCTCTAAGATTAGTACTCACATCGACAAATTAATTTGTGTGGAAACAGATGGCAGGACTTGACACTTAGGCACATTGTAAAAAATTCAATTGTTGAATGAACTGACTAATGCTTGCAACTTGAAATTATAAGTATGTTTGCGTGTTTATATTAAAAAGCAAAGTTTATTAAGTGATTTTTATTTAAATGCCCACGTCTATTGTTTAGTCATTATATAGTATACTTATAATTTCTTGTTGTTAAGTTGTAGATCATAATATGATAAACACAGCTACCTCATTAGTATCTATTAAATAAGATTATTTATAGTCATGGAAATAATAAATACTCATTTTCTAGATATGCGATGCCTGTTTCTCAAGAAAAGATAATTTGATGGTGCATCTAAAAATGCAGCATATATCCCCCAAGGAGTTTAAATGCAAGCAGTGTTCGTACAGCACACGAAAATTCTCCAAGTTGCTTGTTCATGTACAAAAAATTCATACAGGTAATGTTTTTAAAACTGCCTTTATATCTATTAATTTACTGCTTCTGTGGCCTAACGGTTACTATGCTCGACTGCCACGCATAGGTCCTCGGTATAATTCCCGGGCCGTGAGAAATATGGCCTACGTTTATTTCTCTCGTTAGTTTGGGTGTTGTCTGTCTATGTGTGTGTCCACGGCACCCGCGACACAGGGGATTATAAAAAAATTATAATTTTAAGGTTAAAGAAGAGTTGGTGTAATCAATAGGATTTAGTAATTTTTTCAAAAAAATCTATTGGCTGTTTAACCTGTCACGCGTCCTAATGAGGTATGTCTAACCGTAACGATTTTGGCTAAAAAAATATTTTTAATAAATTATTATTCTTTTTTATTTTTTAAATGATGGATGGAAACACAGCTGCGGCTTTAGAACATTACTACGGAATCAAAATCGTGTCTCTAACAATTGTTTATGGACTAGTGACGGGTGTTAAACACATTTCTTTTATATGGCATTTTCAATGTGTCTGTATGCCCTTTGTTCATATAACAAAACAATAATGCGAAAGAAAATCAACAAAAGTTTGTATGTAGACTAACTTTATATATTTATGCCCATTTTTACCAATACTTTGCTGTTAATAATTCCAGACAAACCTTTAAAGTTGGAATGTGGCCATTGTGGTAAGACAACTGGATCTCGAGCTTCAATGGTGAAACATCTTGAGATACATGGTGAAAAAAAATACTCTTGTGATGTGGTAAGTTTCACAGGGACTTAAGTATTTATATTTACGTATAATAAACTGCAAAGTTCTTGTATATTCCCAGGTAATATGAACATATTTTTTTAAAGCACAGGAAAATATTCAAAAATTTTGTGTCATTTATATCATTGTGTCGTTTATAATGTAAAATGACACAAAAGAGCTCTGAATTTAGTGATGATCGCAATAGATCAATTTAAGAGTGATGAGGGCTATTACAGATCGTAAATGTGAATAATGGTATAATTTTTACTTTTAATATCTGTGCAAGCCCTAAATAAGTAATAATTTTTCTAGCTCTAGTCAGTTTTATACAAGTACTAATACTAACACTCTAAAGTGTTGGGTAAAACTATTCTTATTAGCTGGTGATGTCTGAAGTTTTGTAATCTGATGTACAATAGACCTGTAAAGCCATGTATCTAAATTTTCCATTAATTAGTTAAATTGTACACGCTGCCATGGATTAGTAATAACAAGAAACTGGGTAAGTTTTAATATTCTTTAGCACGGCTTTAAAATTTTCTGTCACATATCTATTTTAGTCTTAAAACTAGGTATTATAAAATTTGTCGAAAATAAAAGAAAATTAAAAGTAAAGCAAGAAAATTTATTTTTTTATTTATTTTTAAAGCGCAAAAATGTCATCTATTTAATAAATACGACGTTTCATATATATTTTAATGTTTGCTACTTACATACATTACATTCCGTCACACTGTATCAGCAGAATGATAGTAGACTGATAGTAGTATCAGTAGACGATTCATCCACCTTAAAGGTTACTTTTGTACCAAGGCACTAAGGAAAGCACAGATAAACTACTTTTTAATAAAAAGTCTTTGTTGACAATTGATAGGACCATATATTTATTAAATATCATCTTTTACTACCATGATTTTCATATATTTTTTGTGAAAATACTCCACTATGTTGTTATTATTGATCAAACACAAGGGAAAATTCCGTCAAACTGACTGGTCCAATCCAATGATTGGGCCACGTTACAACACGTGTATGTGTTCGATTTATAATAAAGTATCCCAAAAGCGCTGTATTTGAATATGTTCTGAGAGCTGAGTGGCACTGCAACTGTTATGGACAGGCGTGTAGTTTACCATCAGGCGCACGACTTGTTCGTCCCGTCACATTATATTATAAAAAAAAATGTTTACCTACGCGAACCCCAAAGGGCAAGTATGTGATCCATAATTTGCCTACCCAAATGTACACACAAAAAAAATTAAATATAGTGGAGTGTGTACACCTTTATAAAAAATATTTTCAGTGTGGCTACAGCACCTTCACGATCGAGGTGATGCGTCGACATGTGTTGACGCATGTGTTGGACAAGCCTTACAAATGCGACGTGTGTAGTCGCTCTTTCATCCAGCGCTCGCAGCTCGACCGCCATCTGCAGCGTCACGTCGGCAAAAAATGTCCGCAGTGCGACAGATTCTTCCCTACAGAAGTCGAGTGAGTGCTCTTCAAAATATACACTGTTATGCAATAATTTTCTAAGTAGTACACGCTATAAATATGTAGGTGAAAGGTAAAGGACCTTAAGTCCAAGTTAAGTCCATATTTTAGAATTTAGATGTTTTTACAAACCTTGCTTTAGAATGGTAAAAACCACGAAATTATAAAAGACGTCGTTTGTTTTTTATTAAACAAAATGTACTTAGCCTTAACATTAGTTTCAAATGCCTAGTTAAGATATTTTCTTTAAAACGCTCTGTAGTAAAAATTACTATTTGGCGCTTAAGGTTCCTTTACTTCTCACCTACAGAAATTATTCATCGGTTTGATTGATACGAGCTGCACTAAGGGCGTTTTACTACAAAACATCTTCTTGGTTGTGCGTTCCATATCAAAAAGCAGTGTCTGCCAGGAGCTCGTAAAGAAGTATACAATATGCGTAATTAAGATCAGCCAACACTTTCGGGAAAAAAATGACAGTGTAACATGAGATAAATTGCTTATGCCTTTTTTCTATAGCATCAGTTATATCTTTTAGTCGACTACCATAATAATAATAATAATATCTACATCTTCTTATCGTGTCGATTGCATATATTATATAATTGTGGCCAGGAGTTATTGTCGCTACTCGCGTCACTAGTAGTGCTTATAGGTGACTCGGATTTGGTAGAGGCAAAGCTGCAGAGCCTTGAATACCGCCGTAAAGTTGCCTGCTTATCAGTATTCTACGGGATATATCACGGAGAGTGTGCGATGGAATTGCTTGATTTAATTCCGCCTTCCTCATTCCATCGTCGTGGGTCTAAATGTAGGCTGGAGTTCCACACATAAGTTGTGGATATTCCAAAGATTCGTACCAAGCTTTTCGCTTCCACATTTATATGGTGAACGGCAAAGGATCCATTCCCTGCCTGCAGATTTGATCCCAGAACGCTATAACTTGAGGATTTTCAAGGAGTGAGTGAATTCATGCACGATGTAGCATGCACATTTTAACTGTGAGGAGGTGGTGGATGGAGGTGAGGTCAAATGTGCACTTATTTACTTGTAAAAAAAAAATTGTCACCATTCTGAAATGTGGGACATGTTTACCATTGTAATGAAAGGATTTGCTAATCTGCGTATGCGCCGATTGTTGCCCAGAGTGCGCCAGACGTAAAGAGGTCATGAATAGTACGACATTGCGAAGAGGCTCTGTTTGTGCACCCCATTATCTACGTGCAGAGCACCGTCGTACTACATCTAAAACTAAATTCAACACCTACTCTTTTGGCTTGCGTCGTCATTCGTCGCGTTCGTCAGTCGGAATAAGATGGTTCCAAAGTGAGTATATAAATCTCTACATATAGAAACAAAGAATGACATAGAGTAGTTAAAACCTTCAAAAATTAATAATTTTTTTTCGACTTCCGGGTTTTCGGAAATACCTTTACTATATCTTATTGGGTGAATATAAAATTATCTAGTGTCTGCATAAGATAAAACTTTTTAAATTATTAAGTATAGCTTAGAAAAAAATGTTTATCATGGTGAAAGGTTAATATTTTTACGAGTTTTTTTACTTTATTTATTATTTTACTTGATTAATTACTATTTCGTGGTTTTAACCACTCTACGTCACTCTTTGTAAATATATGTAGACATTTATCTACTCATTTAGAACAGCCTGCATACAATATACGTTATTCGTAAACATTTATTAAAGTCTTTTTGTTTGTTTCAGTGTAATAGTACATTTGAGAGAACATAAGAACGGTGAAAAAGAATTTAAGTGTCCAATTGAGAACTGTGATAATGCAAAAGTGTTCCCAAGTGAAAGGGCATTGAAAACACATGTTAAAAAGCATATGTTACTACGACGTAAGTTTCAATCCCTTTTTCGCTAGACAGTACTGTCCCATCATACTGCAAGGCAACGCTTCCTTCAATTTATCATTGTAAAACTGTTTTTTATTAAATTCCACCAATTTTTTCTTCCGGCACAATGAAATGATAAATACAAGAAAGTGAGTCAATCAGTATTAAAAATAGTTAATATTTGTAATTTTTACGGATAACTTATGCTGGATCAAAAAATTGACTATATCAAATATGTTTTCACAACAAAGACCTAATGGTTCCTAGGACAGTTTCCCTGTATCTCCTACGGTTTCCGATTTCCCCATACTGCCCCAGTTTAAAATCACACTGTATAGTTATTGCAATTGTATTTGTTTTTCTTAATCTCTTCAAAAACAGTCACGATGAGTTGTGCGTGCGTGTGCACAGTCGAACTTAGCGAAATAAGGCTGAAAGATTCATATGGCATCAAATCACACCTTTAACTCTTGAGTTTATTTGCAAAATAACATTGCGCATTTGGTGCTCCATTGACGCAATTGTACTTCTTGTAATGTTACAGGAAATGGATTTGAATATTTTTTTTTAACTTTCATTTCAAATTCGTGACGTGTTAATAACTTTGTGTACTTTATATAAATTTAAAATTACCGCCGATTTTTATTCAAACGTAAACTTCAAATGTCAACACTACTTCAACTTAATTTTTTGGCCATTTTCTGTTTTTAATGTAAACAGTCTTATTTTATTTACTAATATTACGTTCCCCAAATTTTGTGAAAAAAAAATGAAGACACAAAAAATAAATAAAAACAAAGGACCAAAAAATTAAATAGGCTTTCATTGGAGGTATCCAGATGTGTTAACGTACTTAATTCGACACGTAATGTAAATTACGTGAGCGAAAATTAAATGAGCGACACGTAATGTAAGGACTGACAGTGATCTGATAAGTTGCATCGCAGCGTACTCCTGCGAGGTGTGCGGCCGGCAGTCTCGCACGGAGCTGGAAATGCGGCGGCACTTGCAGCACCACACGCTGGAGCGCGCGCGCCGCTGCATGTACTGCGTGGCCGCGCGCGCGTACGTGCGCGGGGAACAGCTCGTGCGACACGTGCGCAAGGTGCATCCTCAGGTGTTCAACGAACACTTGCGGCACGTGCGACGAGTATTGGTGAGTGTCACGAGACCGCACACGTTAACACGTCACATACTAATCACTTTGGAATCAAAACTATTTTTCCACTTCTCATGCTCTTAAAGTTCGTATTTATGCTGGGTGCAGGCTGCATAGAATAGGACTTTATGCTCTAGTGCATAAAATAAAAAAACCATCACATTTAATGTCTGATTGTTGTAATTTTACATTCAATTTTAATTAAATAATCGTTTATTTGTAATATTACTGTTTAATTTCCTCGCAATCGAAGTGAATAGCAGAGTGTATAACTCGTTGATAAAACTCATTTTACCCTCGACTTAAGTATCCATACTACTATGATACTCGGGTAAAATGGCGCGTTTTATGCAGTTGTTGTACAATCTACTATTTTTTTTATTGAACCACTGTTTCTATACAATTAAAGAATACTTAGAATTTAAGACATACAATACTAACATAGAATTTATGACTTTATGCACACCTGTAAACGTTGAATACTGCACTGTTAATAATTATATAACAAGATCTTATTAAATGTATTCTAGCAAATAAACAATTTTGACTTTTGTAAATAATATAAGTAATTTTTGTTTGAATTGTTGTTTTTATTGTCGAATTAACTTATCTACATATATTCATGGTGATGTCCACTTAGAACGTCGTCGGGAATCCTGGGCGGGTGCGAAAGTCTGAACTGGATGCAATACTTAACGTGTTGGACGCGGAGGCAGACCGGATCTTGCAGGACTACGGCGAGGGTGTTCTATACGGCGGAATGCAGGAGACTGACGGCACTGAAGAGGTCGTTCCACCGACGTCTCTCAAGGTAAAGAAAACAAACAGTTGTCTGTAGTATTAATAATAATAATGTGCCAGACTACCTCACCAATTAATTGCCTAGTCTTAAACTATGGACTAGGAAGTTTCCCTGTACTATGAGTACCAGAGAAACTGAATTCACTTTGAGGCACTTCCCAGAACACCCAGACCAGAACCAATTTAGAAAAGTTAATTTTTCTTAAATTGGTCCTATCGGGAGGCAAACCCTGGTCCTCCGCAACCAATGCCCATAACGCAAACCTTTATTCCACTGATGTAGTCCAATAACATTAAAAGCTTGCACGCTATATACATTCTATCACTTATATATATACATTCTATCAATTCAAATCAATTTTAACTTTTTTCTTTACAAGAAAATTTTGCACCAAAAATGCTTCTCTGGCCGCTGCTCTTTCAGTGTGTCTTGACCATTAGTCTACTTCCACAATTATTTATAATTATCGTAAATGTATCTTTTTTGACGTCTTCCTGACGGTCGCAATCGTGATCAATTGTCATCTCGTAGAAAAACGCCAGAAAATGTGGGTAGATAATATTTTAGTGGACCAGTACCTGTAGGTTAATAATATGAATAATTATATAATAAATTTCAACTGTAAATAATTATATTTCAGATTGAGTCGAACCCTCTAATGTCGGAAGAGGAGCTGGCAGAGAACCTCAAGCTTCTGCTTTCGCACCTTATCGATAAAGACTTGCTGGAATTCTTCGGCTGGCCGGAGGAGACCGTCGATAGGGTAATTATTATATTTAATAATTTATTACTGATTCACTAACCTTAAACTAATTTAAAATAGAGTTATATAGTTGTGGATATGCCAAGGATTCCACGTTTATATGGCGAACGGCTATGGAATGGAATTCTTTGCCTGCAGACTAGTTCCCCGAACGGCATAACTTGGGCCTTTTCAAGGCGATAGGCATTTTTTAGGTGTGCATGCTCCATCGTCGACTTCATCATCACTTTCCATCGCGTGAGATGGAGGTCAAATGCGCACTTAAATTTTATTAATAAACAAGTTAGGAATTTTCTGCTGAATACCAACTGGCCCCCTTGGATTCAGTTGAAATGCATGCCAAGAGGCTTATAGGTTACCCGGATTTGAGGCGAAGCTGCTGAGCCTTGAACACTGCTGTAAAGTTGCTTGCTTATCGATATTCATACAGGATGTGATATAGAGTGTTGGATGGAATTGCATGATTTAATTCCGCCCCTATGTTGTAAATATACCAAGTCCTACGAAGCGAAACACTTCCACATTTATATGTCTAACGTCTGTAGAGAGAAATTCCCTGGCCGCAATCTTACTTTTCAAGGCCAGAGAGAATACGCACTCTTTATTATGTGCATGCTCCACCGTCGACCTCATAATCACTTTCCATCAGATGAGATGGAGCTCAAATGCGCAGTTATTTTTAATTAAAAAAAATAATACCATTGACTCGAAAACATTACAATTGCAGGTTCTAGAAAAAGTGATCGACCACTGCGGCGCGAAACCAGCCGATCGTGAGAAATGGTCTCGAGTACAGTGCCTGCGTGAAAACTCCAAGCATTTATTCCTTTATGTGGTAGAAGACAAGAACATTGCTCGCATGCTCGATACACACACTATCGACCAGGTTATACAGGACATCCTAATCAAAATCAGTGATGATGCAGAAGCTGAAAAAATTACCGCTGATTAGGTAACACACCTTTATTTAAAAGAGACACGGAGCAAAAGAACATGCAGACAGAGTTATCAATAGCGGCTAAGTCGGAGAATGTCCGCTTGATTCATGTCAGTTTGGGGCTATCCTAAAATAGTATAACACTTATACAGGTTGTGCAGTAAGTAGTACAACGAATTGGAGATTGTTTTCATTTCAGGCAACTCTGATATAAAAATACAGGGTTAGTTTATACTACAGGCTTGGTAGTCTTTGGTTTGACCTACCGCCTCTCAAGCAGTGGTGCAGGTGCAGCAGGTCGTGGGTTTCAATCCGGGTCTGCACCTCTGAGTTTTCGGAATTTATGTGCAAAAAAATTTTAACCATGAATCGATGAAGGACAACATCGTGAGAAAACCTGCAAAGCAATATATAATCCATGTTAGGCCGGCGTGGGAACTACAACCCAAGCTCTCTCATTGTGAAAGGAGGCGTGTGCCTTTTTTTTAATAATAATTAGGGGTTGAAGTATAAAATTGCCATTTTGTACTGAAAAATCAAAACAATTTTTGTGTAAGATAAAATATATTTGTTTAATCAAAGTAATAATTCACATTCGTTGTCTATACATTTGTGCCATCTAATTGGAAGGTCATTCAAACCTTTGCGATAGAACTCGTATGAAAGCTTTTTTACTTCTTCCAGGGAAGCAATTTTTTTCTGTTAGGGCGCGGTTCGTCGAGAATATAGGATGACGGATGGTGTCTAACTGCAGGTCTTATGGTGTTAAAACTGTTTCTCGAGCAGTAACAGATCTTACGTTATCATGGAGCAATAATGGTGAAACTATTTTGCTCGCAGCAAAACATTTTCGCCGTCATTGTTGAAGTGCCATGTCATATTGAGGGTATGCTAACATTAAACCATGCCGCTAATTCCTTGGTAGTTTGATACGTTCCGAAATTGTGTGCCTGGTCCCTAACAATTGCAGTGTCACTCAAGAGTTTTTAATCACACATATCTGAGAGACACGGCCACTGCGCCCGACACCTTGACACATAAGTTGACAAGTCCCATGTGCCTGTAATTTCTCTAGCACCTTACCCTTCTATTCCGGAACACATTACTGCTTGGCGGCAGAAATAGGTAAGGTACTTCCCTGGACGAACTCTTTCACAAGGAGTTCTACCGCTACGAAATACCTATAATTATATAGGCTAACGCAATTCGATACGCGATTACTCCGACATTTGTAAACCGATTACAATGATTCTTTCTTTTCTTGAAAAGGGGTACCTCAGTAGTGGTCCCATTCAAAATTGATGAAAATATTCCACCTATAAGGGTGACAAATTGTGGTTGAATCAAGTTTGTTGGATCTCACCCACTTTCCGTTAACGGATTTAAATGAAACTTGAATAGGTGTAATTTCACGAGACTTTTGAGGTCAGTTTTTTTTATAAACATGTTATAGATATTTATGATAATATTCATAGTGAAATCTGACATATTTAAACTGTAGGGCTACTTTTTTGTTCTCTGCTGTAGTTTAATGTAGCATTCTGTAATAAACACAATGTATCAGAGAAAATATGAAATACAGATCAAATTGCATTAATTTTAGAATAAGATTTACGATTAAGTATAAAAGCATTATATTTTTATAAGACATCGGCAATGATGTGCCTTACACTATTTTTTAGTTGAAAGTTAGTTGTTATATTGTAACATTTAAGTTTTATTTTGTAACGAAAGCGGTGGGTTATTGGATTTATTTAAGTTATAATGGTAGGTATCCTGGGCTAAGAACTCACGAAGCGGTCTTCTCCTGCGCCCGCCGTGGCTGTAGGACATCTGTTTTATTTTAATACTTATAACACCGCTGATCGCAAACTTGATGGGAGATATCGCAAGTCGCGCGATTATTTACGATCGATCGAGATCGTCGCCTGCGAAGTTTGACGCACCAACCGCAGAGTGCGCGGGCGCCGGCCGCCAAGCGCTGGGGTGACCACATCCCGCGCGGTTCTATTAGTACCCTGCGGACGCTGCGGCTACCGCAAGCAACCGTCTTTCCTAGCCACGGGCGAAAAATACGTCGTGAAATGTGCTACGACATTTTACTTACACATCTTCATTTTACGGAAGAGAACCGCTTCGTGAGTTCTTAACCTTAAACTTCCTATTAATAAATTGAAAAGAAAAATGTTATAAAAAAATTAGTCTTGTCTGAGCTGATCAAACAGGCTTATGGGTCAGTCCAATGGATACTCTACTTGAGATAGAATGCCGTTTGATCGAACATTAATTGCTCGAAAACGGCTCGATTGTCCATTTCACCTGTGAATCGTGAGTTCTAAGGTTTGCCACATGGATGCATCAAAATCTCGAAAGAACATTTGCTCTAACGATCAACAGCCAAAAAAGTTATTTCTCGAAATATTTAGTTACGTCGTATTCTATATTCGTAGTCTATATGTCGTATTTTATAAATTTTTTTACATTTCAAGGTGCGAACAAGAGGCTCCATTCTTTTGGAGAAATCAATTTTTTTGCTGTTGATCGTTAGAGCAAATGTTCTTTCGAGATTTTGATGCATCGATATGGCAAACCGTCGAGCTCACGATTCATGGGTCAAATAGACAATCGAGCCAACGTTTTCGAGCAATTAATGTTCGATCAAACGGCATTCTATCTCAAGTAGGGAACCCCAGTCCAAGACCTATGTTAGCATAAGAACTAGATTTTTGACGTCAATGTTAGTTTTTAATCATAAGTTTTATTAATTCAATAAACAGATTTAAGTTAAATAATAGTTTAATTCGACTTTCGTAACAATAAAACAAACGGCACAGTGTATTGATCTTAGATATATTAAATAAATAGGCAAAAAAAACTATTTTAAGGGCGCAAACTAAAGAGATACTACACATTTCAAGGGCCCAGTCACAGACATTATACATATCTGAATAGACGCCGCAAGTGTACCTACTTGCGTGCCCAATGTAAGCTATAAAACGCTTAGGGTATTCCAGAACTCTACTCAATACTCAAGTCCTGACTTCATAGAGTTCTGGAATACGACCCTTAGTCCCCGCTGCCGCTGCTACGCTTATTAGAACGCGCTCGGACGTATTAGTGATTAAATCTTCTTTAGCCGTTACCGTAGTTAAACATCAGTCGAAAATGCGAAAAATTTTTAATTATGCCATAGAAACTGCAAAAATACCACAGCTATGAAAAGGAGGATTAACCAAGGACGTTTCCTTCCACAGTTATGTAATTTTATAATCAGAATATGCATAATTTATTTTAAAACAAATTCTTTTCATTTTGAATAAATTTCGAGAAAACAAAAATGCAACGAGTGTAATACATTGCAGTTTTTACTTGGTTGGTGGCGGTACACTTGTGCTCCTTCTTTAGTAGGCCATGAATATCGAACAAGCTATACTTTCGTATAATGCATTCAGTTTCGTGGTACGGTCGCTTCGTCATGTTTTTGGTCAAATTTTATGATTAGTGATGTTCACTTGATGCAACACAGTTCTCGATTCTGTACGATTTGGGAAACAAAGGGATGATAATTCTTAAGACCTTAGAAAATGTTATGAAAATATTCTACAAAACTTTTTGTTTTTTTTTTAGTTTTCCGGCGTAACTTTTTTTCAAAACACCTATTAATAAAGAACTTAATTATATTATTATCGTATTATTTTACGGCTTCTTATAATATAATGAACAAATACTTGAAAAAAATCATTGTTCTAAATAATAAACAAATTTATTTATTTATTATAATAATTACATAATAAGTTCACAGCATGAGCCGAAACACTTATATGCTAGTCAAAGAAATGTAATAATAATAATTTATATAATACAATTTATATTATTATTCTGCTTTACATAAATATTCATTTAGGAATAATACGGCATATTTGAAAAATTGCTTCGAACTGTCTCCGAATACGTCGGCACGCGACTGCAGTGCGAGCAATTGGTTAAGCAAAGAGGTCGCCCTAACCGTGGGTGCATGTGCGCCGCTGCAGGTGCGCGACGGAAGAGTCGCGAATAACGGACGTACGCGCCTCTGCAGCGTAAATACGTGCTGCATCCGCGTCTTCGATTTATTCAAACGCTTTAGTGCCGGAGAAGGTTTCCCATCAGTGTTGCCAGAGTTTTGCAAAGTTAATTCTCCATTTTATGTGCGCCAAGTAGCCGATATTCGCCCAAGCCTGTGTTGCCAATGTTAATAGTTAGGAAAGCAGAATTCTTATTTTTCCAATTCCCCACAAAATCCCCACACAAGTTTGTGATTCCCCAGACATTTTATTAAGTAGCCTAAAATCGCCTTTTCCTAATTAAAAAATAGCCTAAATATCGTCGATCGCTTTTTTGTCGCCGCACGACCCTTCGAAATAGCCTAATCTGGCACCACTGTTTCCATCACTAAATAGCGCTTGTAGTGACGTCATTGTTCCTAATGCGTTTCCGATTCGATTTTTTTATAGCAATTGATTTTATTTATGAAGAAGTTTTAATCGTGAGGGTATATAAAAAAAGATAATATTATCTGATTGGGATCGTGATGTGGCGTTTGAAAATTTGTGTAACTAGGTACTTAAGAAAAAAACATGTTATTGAGGATTCAAATGATGATTATCGTTCGTATAGAGAATAATCCGACGATTCATAAACAACAAGAATTTATTTTATTTCAATATAATTTATTACATTGTATTGTATTGTTCTATATACAATATATAGTAAGTACTAGAATTTATCAACTTAAATAATCTTCGTTACTTAATCCGTCGGCTCGAAAAATTTAATAGATATCGGAGCTAAAGAGCACGTCGCTTTGCTATAGTAAAGAAAAAAAGCATGCATGTGATAACAAAATACGGTTGGAATTCCCTCAAAAATTACGAAAATTGCCTTAAAATTAAAAGGTAGGTACATGTTACACGAGAAAATAAAAGTTACAAAAAATTTAAGAAATTTAACCATCTGATAAACACTACACAATATTCAATAGCTATAATCAATAACATGTTGTTTTATGTTGTATGTTCTAAACAAAACTAGTAAACAGCGGTATAACAGCTTATCTGATAACAGTGTACATTATCAAATAATGAAAAACCTTACAGTCATTTTGCCGAGTCACAATAAAATAAAAAATAAAAATCCTATATTTGAGTTCTTAGGTTTTCGCGATTGTTACACATAGGAAATGAAACTAATTTTCCGGATTTAAATCGCGTATATTTGTTTTTTCAAACAAACCGACGTTTCGGTCCCTTTACAGGTCCCATCCCATGGTCACGGTTGACTGAGGTGGTACAGTCCCCCCCCGAAGGGGTTCCAGCCTTGTCGTGGCGGGGGGGCTCTAGTAGCCGTGGTCGATTTCATCCCACGGTGAAGCTAAGAGGAACCCACGGGGCCGGCCGATGGTGGTAGGCTGGCCCGAGGAGGAGGGCGTTCCGCGCGGGGCTCGTTTGGCCAGCGGGACCGCGCGGATGAGCGAGGAGGAGAGTCGCAGGGGGAGAAACGTGTCGGTGTGTCGTTGCCGCTCGTCCTGTCCTCCGCGACCCTAGCGGGGCTGCACCGCTTTCAATGATGCAGTGGCGGCGGGGCCGCGGGGGAAGAGACGTGTCGGTGTGTCGTTGCCGCTCGTCCTATCCTCCGCGGCCGAACGTGGGCGGTTGGCCCGTGGTGGGCGCTCCAAGGGACTCTCTTCGGAGAGTCCGCGCGGAAGCGCGTTAGGTGTTGCGGCGGAGCCTGCCATCAGATCCGCCGCGGGGGCTGGGGGAGCAGCCACTGAACTTCACAGTTGAGTGGATGCTGTCCTGGCCCCCCATGGCCCCTGGGTAGCGGACTCGGGGGAGTTTGTTGCCCAGCATAAAGGGGCCCGGGATGGAAGGCTCGTCTGGTGTTCGGCGAGCCTCACATTCGGAGTCGGGGGACCGATGTGTCTCCTGTTCTCGAGGAGGGGCTGCGCAGGGCGCGGCCAGCCGCTGGTGGGGGCGCGGACGAATGCAACAGCGTACCCGTACCCCCACCTACAGCGGAGAGGAGGAACACTCCGGGGGTTTAGTGCGGTCGGGCTGCTCCCCTTCAGGGTTCAGCCCAGTCCCACATAACCCCGGCTCTGCCCCTGCGGGGCCGGGGTATCTGTAAGCAGATTCCCCCGGATTAACAAAAAAAAAAAAAGGTGGTACAGTCCTCAACCAGTTATGTCTAATATTAATGCAAACCACCCTATTTTTTCACTATAGTTACAATAGTTATTAATTAAATAACTACTAACCATTTTTGCTATATATTTTATTTTTACTATATTTGATTTTCAATTTAGTCGTCTTTACGAAAAATAATCAAATGTACAGTCAACAGCACATCAAGCTATACACTTTTGGTCGAATATCGCCTCCAGAGCAATGGAACAAGATCGTTCAACGTATAGCTTCATATGCTGCCGTCCGTACGTACGTATACTTACTAATTAAATTTTCGGTGTTTATAAAAAGGTCCTCTATACTATGGTACGGAATGTCAAAAACGATCCTATTACTTATTTAGTGCCAATCGATCCTGTTACTTAGTTAATAACAATCAATCCTATTACTAATTTATTAACCATCAATCCTGTTTCTATTAGGATATTTGATCAACAACCAAAAATTAGTAACTAGTAGATTTGTAACTATTTCAATTTACAGCATTGACTTACAAATAAATGGACGACGGGTCTAATACAAAAACCACGAAAAAAATGTCCCAAGTCAACCTATTCGAAATTTAAATTGTTATGTCATCGCAGTATCGCGCTGTCCGTAGAACAAATGAAGACTAAAGCGGAGTGTCGCGCTCTGTATACAATTTTAGCGCCTTACAAGTGCGGACACTTTTTAGCGCGGACCCGACGTCCATATAATTGTAAGTCAATGATTTACAGTCGATATTTGATCAATAATCAAAAATTGAAGTGTAGTAACTAATTTATATCAACAATCGAATTACTTCGATTATTTTTAGTAGTCAAGACTAATCATCAAGCTTGACACTTTGTATGTACAGTCAAGAGCATGTCAAGCTTGACACTTTGTACTATGGACCGTTCTTATCTGCGGCATAGAGTTGGATTTAAATCTTAAGCGTCAAGCTTGACGTGCTCTTGACCCTGTACTTCTTATCTTAAGCGGTATAGAGTTGGATTTAGGCTTAAGTGTCAAGCTTGACGTGCTCTTGACCCGGTACGTCTCGCCCATCGCTAATATCTATGAATTTATGAATTATTATTTGCACCGGTGAAGACGAGGCAGTATGGTCTTTCCTAGCCTGCCTTTTTTCACGAATAGAACAAAAAAAAAATATTTACAGGTAACTTTATGATAAACTGTAACTGTATCATTCTTTCGTAATTAAATATACTACCTATCCTATCCTGTTGATCACCTTTCCAAAATTCCATTTGCTTTTATTTTTATTCCGCGATTTCCTTTCCCCGTTTTTAATTTCATATTAATATCCAAAAACCTACACCTAAGTTCCACAACAACAACTGCAACGACAATAATAATTATCCTGAAGTCTCAAGAAGCAAGAAAATATTTATTTGGAAGAATTATCAATTTGCAACTCAGTTGGAAATTGCATATGGCCAAAGGCTGGACGTAGTGCCAAAATATAAGAAAAAGAAAACTCTTTGATTGTATACATTGGCTTAATGTGGGCTTAATTGCATCTTAATTGTAAGCACAAAGTACTTTGTATATATATGAAAATTGTAAGTCAATGATTGTATAGATGCGTTAGCATCAATAGTAAGCTTAGAGGATGAAAAAAAAATGACAGGAGCTGCCATAACTACGGAACGGACGTGCATACCTAAACAAAAATTGAACGAAGAAATGGATCGATAAGTCATTATCGACATGCAATCATTTAATTAAAGTAGATCAATATTCCATTTGGGAATATCCGGGAAAGTCACATTAAAATTTTGAATTTATTGTTTTGCGTTTACAAATACTCAAATATTACGAAAAGTGAATTTGCACAGAAAAAATGTAATTTGAGAGTGTATAAAAAAAAGAAAACTTTGAAATATAAATCTGGAGATCTCCTATACATTTCCAACCTAAAGATTCATATTTTCATAAAGAAATTTTTAAACATTTTCCCAATAGTGTAAACTTTCTGTATTTATACATTGGTTTAGAATTAATATCAGTGACTGAGTTAAGCGATTTAATACTTCCATATAATTTTGGAAATAAATGAAAGTAGCAATATTATCAATAATAATATTATTATCATACGTTTATTTGCTTAAAACATGGTATAACAGGAGATGTAACAAGAATGTAGTATAAACATGTTTCGCATATTTTAAATAGCATACAAAAGTCTGATTATACAATGTCAATTGACTACTATTGGTCAATTGGCCTTTGATTTGTGCAGAAAAATCGACACTTCTCCGAAGTGCGACAAGAGTCACGAGAGCGACTGCGAGTTGTGACAAGCCAAGCCACGTCAAACGAGCTCTATACATGTTAGCTCTCGCTTTCACTCGGTCAGCTAGGCGAGTGACACCGAATGATGGCAAGGCAAGGCAAGGCAAATAGGTTGTCTATACATTGGTATCTATGACCTTCACCCGGCAACGTTGGACCAACATGGTCATTGTATTGCTGGCAACATACTGGGAAACATTTTTAGTAGTTAGAGTTGTCAGTGGGAATAAATCGGAAACGAGTGGATAATTTTGTTTTCAGGAACTGAGAATGCCTAGTAAATGAGTCTTGTTTAATTTAAATTAAATATAAAATTATTTACCAATAAACCTAATGATGGAATTGTATTATCATGTAATCTTAGTTACATTCAAAGCTATGTTAAAATTAGACTCTTCAAAATGAATCGAATAAATGAAGATGATCTTTGATTCAATGTTTATATTCGGCACTCCTATAATTTCCAACCATTCTTTTTTTTTTTTGATTGGTAGGTAAACTTGAAATAGTAAAAATAATAAAAACCTCGTAGTGAATTATTTTAATAACAGAATATCGATAATATGTACGCTTCCAAGAACAACACTATCTCAAAATAATCATTAACAACAATCATCAAAATATACAAACAAACAGGCAATCTGAAGAAATCAAAGTAAGATTTATGAATAAACTACTTAAATATGTCTAATTACATGAGATATTTGGGCTTTTGTGTGATTTATAGACAGAAAAATAACACGTGCCTGTACAATGGTACATTCGGTTGATCTTCGCTTTTTCAAATGCCACATCCCGTAATGCTGAAGCGACGAATTTTTATTAATACTTAATTGTTCTCACTGTCCATATTTTTGTCCATTTTATTACAATACATGCGAATAATTCAATAAAATACTTGGAAAAACATTTGTTTAGACATATGGTATACTTCCTTAGGGCAACCGTGTCATGTACCTCATGTACTGCGAAATGAACACGGTTGGCATTTAAGATGACGTTTTAATTCCCGTGTTTGACACAGACCTATGTAATGCTATTTCTTTTGGCTTAAGACGGTACGCAATAGTTAAACAAAGACAATAAGATGTTTATATTTCAACGTCGAAATGCGTCATATACATATAACGTCTGATTTATATATGTCAACATACATGCTAAGAAGTTTGTGATTGTATTATATACATGTAGTAGTAAATAAATATGTCGAATGATTGAAGTCAATCGTGCATTCTATGTTACAGATTGATTGCAATTATATTTTCACAAGATGTCTACGAGCGTTCCTTTGATTGTGAGATTACTCGCTTCATCAGTATCTGTGGCTGGGCGAGCGGGAAAAATTGTTAGAGATGTGATGAGCAAAGGTGAACTTGGTATAGTTGAAAAGGTACATAGGTTTCTATTAATTTAATATGAAATATATAGGATTATTATTGTATGTCTTCGAGGTTGTTATGAAGTGAAAGTTACCATTAAGTCGTAGTTACGGTTGTTTCTTGGACAATAAAATCACTTTTAGTGTTTTTCAAGGTTTTTACATATAAAAAACAAATAACCTTATACAAGGTAACATTTCAGAGTGACGATATTAATAAAGACTTATAAGGGATTATAAAGCCATACTTTGAATGTAGGTAACGAAATTCGTTAAAGAAGATATCTGCAATTTCACATCAATATCAATATTGTTTAAGTATTTTTAATCTTAAAGTCAGTCTCCACAGTTGAGCATTACAGCGAGTAAACTTTAGCAAGCAAAGTACACATTGGAAAGGAAAACGGTACTTCTTGCACCCAGCTTATTAACCCTTCCATGAACAGCGCTTAAGTAGTACCACAAACAAATATGCCAGTTCTTTTCTTGCAGTAGTGCTTATATTAATTCAATATAAAATGTTCAATATAAATAAATAATTGAAATTGTCAGTATGTTGTTAATATTTCTCCATAGAAAAGCAGTAAGCGGCAACTACAAGAAAGCACTCATACATTGTGTTGTAAAGCCAGTAGTTGGTTTTAAGATATCCATATAACGAAACAGGGTATCTCGTCCTATCATATAATTTTACAATAAACGCCATTACTGTCCATGAATGGTTTAACATGTTGCATTTGTCAAAGAAAGTATTTGGAGTAAATTATTTATATTTTCAGGGCAAAAATGATTATCAAACGGAAGCAGATAGATCAGCGCAAAGATGCATTATTGCTTCACTGTCATCACAATATCCCAAATTGAATATTATTGGTGAAGAGGATAGTCCTAGCGTTGAGGTAAATTTTTTTATGTACAAGTGCATAGCCCTGCATTAAGGAAACCCTGTGTCGCGGGTGGCATGGACATACATATAGACAACCACAAACTACACCCAAACTATTGAGGGAAATAAATGAAGGCTGTACAAAAATTTCTCCCAGGCTGGGAATCAAACCCAGGACGAATGAAGCTTCATTTGCATCATGCTGCGTCTTTTAATTTAGTTAAGTCTTACTTATTTGACAATTGTTTTGGACAGATGTCTGACGGAGAATGGGAGTAGAACCCCAGCATGGTAACTGTTCCGCCACCGAGGCAGTTAGGAAGTAATTGTATCTATATATAGTCAGTACTTATGTACTGACAAGTAAATTCAAATTTTGGAGTAATGCAATTCATTTAAAAGAAGTTTAAAAATGCAATTTAAAAACACATTGTACCCTTGAAACAATAAAGCTACTAGTGATCATAGGTCTAAAGTGCTTTTATCATATGAAAATCATAAAAACAATACTAACTACATGAAACATGTATGTGTAATGTTATAACTCATATTAAGGTTCAATTTATATTGCGGCGGAACGGAATGGAAGTGAATTTTTATAACGATATTGTACATAGTATAATGAACTTTATGGTCAATTGCGTAAGATACAAGCCATTAGATACGAGCCAAAATCTTCCGCGGAATTCTCGCGCATGCTTAAGAATGCTCGCGCATTCCGCTAAGTTACTAACGATTTCTGTTTGTAGAATATTTAAACCTCTCCTGATAAGTTGTCATTTTGTAGATATGACTTTATTACACCACCAATGCAATATATTGTGGGAGGTAGAAGGCTGTGATTTATTATATAGTTGTTTTGATGAGTGATAAACCGTTTCCAGTTTTTAGCCGACCTCATAAAAAGGAGTAGGTTCTCTCAATTCGACTGTACGATTTTTTTTGTATGTATGTTACGTGATAACTCCGCCACTTGTGAACCGAGTTTGATGATTCTTGTTTTGTTGGTAAGAGAGTACCTCAGAAGTGAACCCATTTAAATTTTAAGAAAATATTCGACCTCTAGGGGTAGTGAACTAAAAGATGAATGACTTTTGAGGTCGGTTTTGTGAGTACTCTGTGCTGAGATTAGGTTAGTTTATTACATTCTGTCCGTCTCAGCAAGTCTGATAAGTGAATCATTGTTACTGCTTTACTTTGGTAACAATAATAATAATACAAACAGTCTTAGTTACAGTTTTACCATTGAGGAGCTTCAAAACAAAAACCAATAAATCCGATAAGTAACGATTCTAATAATAAATAATTAACGACCTCCACCGTCGAGTAGTTTGTACACCGGTTTTGACTCTCTGACGTTCCGGGTTCGATCCCCGGCCGGGTCAATATAGAAAAACTAACTTTTCTATATTGTCTCGGCACTGGGTGTTTGTGATACCGTCGTTGTTTCCGATTTCCATAACACAAGTGCTATATAGGAATTGAAACTATTTATTTGGATCTAAATCTCGTATATTATATTTGTTTTTTCAATCAAACCAAAGTTTCGGGCCAAAAACAAATATACGCGAAATTTATTACGAAAATATCTTTAATTTCCTATGTCTAACAATCGCAATAACCTAAGAACTCGACAAGTGCTTTAGTTACTTATTTTCGGATCAGAGCAACGACGAATATGACGATTTCAAGTGTAATTTGCTTACCATTGAAATATAGATGATTTGAATTTGATTTGAGTGGTGTTGTTTGCCAAGAAACAATATTCTAGACCATAGCTATGGTACATTTTTATGTAAATCGCGTCCTATATTACAGGGCGAAATCCCCAGTGACTGGATTGTAGTAGAAACAGACAGTGATGTACTGAAACTGGAATGTCCTTCAAATCTGTTGGGAGTCAAAGAGGAGAATGTAGTTGTATGGGTCGACCCATTGGATGGAACCGCAGAATACACTCAGGGTAAGTACTTAGTACTGTATGGTTGTATCGATATGCAATTTGCTTTTATATAATATGCATTTTGTGGGCTTATACTTTTAGTGATAGATGATTGGCATTTCTTCACATCTGAGGGGGTTCAATTATGTTGGTCTTTGTTGTACACAATACTTATTGTAAATTTTTGTCTGATAATAAATCAAATATACAAAAGGCTGCCTTTTTAACCATTTAAATAAAGGATCGCATCCATTTGTGCTAACTGGTCGTATTGCGCCACCGGTGGATCCAGTTAATTACAGTGGAACAAAACTGGCCAAACCAAAGCACACAAAGAAGATTTTCCCTTCTGGAAAAAAGCGATGGCCGAAATTCACGTGTAAGTGGCGATATTACAAGTTCTTGAAATGACTGTCTCTTCCAGTATTAATGTAGCTGAAAGTTCAAACTAGAGATCTAAAGGAGACCCGGGGCCCTACTCTCGAATCACGAAATCCGTAGTTACGGCCGTTTTCCCACTATGATTAACGGAACTACTCTCGAAGTCCGTTAACGAAAAGACGGGCTCGTTCGAAAATGTTTCAACGTTTGAGAACCTCTTGAGGTCAATATAGACCACTTTGGGAGTCATCGTAATGGAGAAATATTAGTATTCGATGGATAATAGTTCAAGTTAATTTAAAATTATAATAAACGCGAGAAAAGGAAGTGAAGAAAGGTGATTTTTTTATAATGTGCCAGACAACCACACCAGTTGCCTGATCCCAAACTAGAGAATAATTCCCTGTACTATGAGTACCAGAGCAACGGAATTCATTCTGGGGCACTGCTTAGAACACCCAGACTAGAACCAATTTAGAAAAGTTCATTTCCCAAATTGATACCTACCGAGAATCGAACCCGGGACCTCTTCATCCAGTGCCCACTGTACAAACCCTTGGTCCATCGTGTGTTGTTTATTCCTAAAAATCAAATATATTAAACGATCTGCAATAATTCTAGGTGCCCTAATGTTGAAGAGAGATCCATGGGAAAGATGGAAAATGTACTTGTCACATCCATTTATAAGTATGAAGTGGTATTTAAGCTTACTGCAATCAAACTATGGTAAATGGACAATTTTGATGAGACATTCAACATTGCATGATTGTGTTAGCATGACTTGTTAACACTTAGTTTTAAGTCATGTTTCATGGTATAATTTATGGGTGATTGTGTTTGCTTTGTTCCTTTACTAATCAGATCGAGTTTTGGGTATTTTGTAGTAATAGAAATTGTTAAGACGACACAGATGTAATTTAAGAATTATAAATTTTGTTGACAATTTTATGTGAATACTTTTTTAAAAATTGGCTTGACAAGTTCAGAATTTAATTAAATATGCGAAAGAAATGTGGATACATACCGACAATTTAGGTACTGAATTATGGCAATGTTATGGAAGGTGTGCTTAAGAATTTACACTTTAATTTTTTTGGTGTAGCATTTGGGCTAATGAACATAGTCTATTAGATTAGTTTCAAATAAGCCAGATCTCAGTATGGCTTATTTTCGCTTTACGTTTTTTGTGTAATTAACATAATAATTTATTTTCCCACAACATACAAGATAAGTTATGTAAAGGCCTACCGACTAGTGAGTTTTAATATGAATGCTTATTAGTGAGAGACTGGTGCAATGAAAATGCCTGTATAACAGGTTGCCAGGTCCCCGTTTCTCGAAATGTATTACAATTATGTTAAACTCATTTTTACGTAAATTAGTTAGGTATAGTATGTCAACGGTAAAAATGGACTAAAGTACTTATTATCTGACTCTCCAATCAACTGTGTGATATGTTCAGGTTGAATTATTTCGAATATATTTCGTAAATTCTGAATGCTTCTCAAGCCATCTTCATATTCACTAAAAGGAGGCATTCAGTATCCTGCAATCCTGCAGGCCTGCGAGACTCCATACGTGGGCCATACGCAGGATAGTGTGTGAGCAGTCTCCTGCCTGCGCGGCTTACACTTCGAGACACCGTGCTTTGCGCGGCGTTCGTATGTTTGTAGATTTTTCAAAAACTGATTTTTTTAACTAGTTCATAAAAACCTTGATAATTTCTTATTAGTAGTTAATAAATGCAATTATTTTGTTTAATATTTAACTTTTGTGCACATTTTATCGATAAGGTTTCTCCATTAACTGCAACTAATTTATATTACTTATTTTTACGGCACTTAAATCATCTCAATTAAAAAATAATGTGAACAAGGTTAAAGCCAAATGTAGCTGCAAAATATGCGATTGAATTACGCGCACTTTGTTTGATCGTGAGGAACAGTAAGCGTATTTTTACCCACTGTAATTATACTATTCTGCCCTCCTTGTCATAATTAACGTAATCGTCATTTTTTGCGAAATTGAGTTATTAACATGTTTGGGTTCAGAGAAACGTGATCTACAACCCCTTTAACCGGTTTGTTTTCATATTTTATTTAGTTTCAGTTTTACTGTTAAGCAAAATCAGCGTAATTGTCATTTTTCAAAGTTACCGAAATTGTAAAAAAAAAGTATTGTACAGCGCCCAATAATGGAAGAATGTTTATACATTTATCAAGCGTAATTTACCCCGCGCGAATTTTGTCATATTTTCACTTGTAAATAGGTATTATAAATGCAGGAAAGAACTCTTGTTTTAACCATGGAAGTAGAATATGGTAGCCTTTTTTAACACCTTTGTAATTACATTTTTTGATTATTATCATCTCAGATTACAAAACAATAGGCAGATGGAGCGCGCCGAACACGAAAGTGAAGCCACCAAAGCAAATACAAATTGAAAAGCGAATACAAACTCGCGTCAGTGCTGTGCTTACTGCAGCGTGGTATTGTTTGCACATCACGAGTGATTAGCTATTTTATGTTTAAAAATGCCATCTTGTGTCTTTAAACATTGTAAGAGTTATTCCCAAAAACAAACAAAAAATAAGATGAAATATCTTTTCACAGGGAACTATTGATTATTTAACTGTTTGTAATTTATTTACCCAATATTTTTTGAGATTCACTCGGAACACAAAACCTCGAAATAAATTCGCATGTGTTGCCAGTTTATATCAAAATAAGTTTACTTAAATGAGGTAAATATGCATGGGTGATAGGAGCATCGATTATTTTTTCTTTTATATAGAAATTAAATAGTGCATGCATATATATTCATACAGGCTAGTCCATTTAAAGTGGTCCAATATTGTTTTTTAGGTAACTCACATTTGCCTAAATTATTCTCGAACCAATAAATTATTACCCTAATAATTAAATAATTATTAGGGTAAAATAATTATTAAACCCTAAATTATTATCGTAGACAAAAGAAAATGTAGCCCTCTAGATACAGAGAACTTTCATTGTCGTGTGCACATGTCGTAAAGATTGATTTTGAAAGAAAACGTGTCAATAAAAAAAAATGTATTTATACACAACTTCACAGTTTCTAAAGAGTTTCATTGGGAACCAAACAATTTTTGTCAAATTAGAAGATAATCGTCAATGCTATGCAATTGATTACAAAGTTAATTTAATAAAAAAAATAATAGAAAAGTGATGCGATTGCACTACATATCAAAATCAGAAACGAATGCTCGATGTATAGACGCGAAACAATAGTATTATAAGAAACTGTGATCGTAATAGATATTTTGAATGATCAAAGTTTTTCAATTTTAAAATATCTTTTGTGCGATGTAAATCAAATAATAACAATTAAATATTAACTTATATTGCATATAATTTGTTTGATACTAATACCACTTAAGATCATACCGCAAAATAACATTTCCAGTTTTTAACATTAGCGTTATAGAAAGCAACAGAATGCGGGAGTTTTTTCGCTGCATCTGGCAATTTTACACGCGCACAAATGCGCATGTCCCTACGGCGCCCCTCCTAGTTGTTACGCACACAAGAAATGAAAAGCGGCTTCACATCGTTTGTTGCGTATGCTCCATCTGCTAATTGTTTTGTAATCTGAGATCATCATTATGTACGGTGTGGTTTGGAAGTCAGTAAAGGGATATAATATATTAGTGGACAGTATTCTGTCTACAGATTTTAATCATAAAAGCAAATAACTTTTGGAGATAAACCTTATTAAGTTCGCCAAAATATTATCGTTAATAGCTTTTATCGACTGGTTGTAAAATTACGCACATCATGATGTGCCCCGTGCATGTTCCTAAAACGTTTCACCATTTCACAAATTAAATATTCAACTAGTACTTGTATTATGATTGAATACAAAGTATTTTACGGGTTTCTAGGCTTTTATTGGGCATATAATAGGGAGTGAAACTCGAGGAACAATTTTACCGTAAGTCGAAACGACAACCCTGGCATAGATAAAACCGTTTTATTGTCTTCCTATAAGCATACACAAGCATATGAAATAATTAGAAGACAAAAAACAGACACAAAACAGAAATTAAAATTGACAATGAAAACAAACAAACATAAAAACAAAAAATAACATAACTTGTGTGTATTGCAGGAAGCCAAAAGGTCATATAGGCGAGTTTTTCCAAAAAGCACGGCACTTGTTTTCAGCTATCACCTTTGGGGCAATGCGGTGCGGTGCATCAACAACAAAATATAACATTGCTTTTTCTAACTATTGCCTTAGACAAATATTTTGAATGTCATGTTATTCCAAATTTACCGATATGCTAAGAATATCTATGCAGTACCATCGAATGTATTTTTGCCATGCGAAGCCTCCTGGACTTTCGCCACGTTAACTTTTATCTAATCCATTTATATGCGGTCTCGTAAAGATAGTTTTTGTGTAACTGTTTTTATGAGCACAATTACTATTTGGAATTTAATTTAGTTCACAGAAATAATTATGTCCATAAATCATCCACTATACTTACGCTGTTTTTTGTTTTAGGGTTCCTTGAACACGTGACAGTGTTAATTGGCATATCAGTCAATGAGAAACCTGTAGCTGGAGTAATTCACCAGCCTTACTTTAAAACTATGAATGGGGAAGAGAAACGTATGGGTAGGACTATATGGGGACTGCAGGGAGCGGGGGTAGGCGGTTTTACGCCTGCCCCGCCGCCAACGTCTCTGATAATTACTACTACAAGAAGCCATTCTAATCCTATTGTAGAGAAAGCTCTGCAGGTTATGAACGCAAGTCAGATTTTAAGAGTTGGAGGTGCTGGATATAAGGTGAGATATAAAAAAAAATGTTTCGGCTTATTCCCAGTTGTCACCATTGGCTTTGTTCCCAGTGGCGACAAATGGGGGAAAAAAATGCCATATGTTACCAGGTGCCTTACCATGAACTCTTATTACGATTCAGTTTAGGATCTAAAATAAATCGTTGTGAGACAGCGGTACACGAAGTGTACATCATCATCACGCTTTTTTATCGTTACGAACCTAAACTGAACTGTAATAAGAGTTCATGGTAAGGCCTCAGGTGGTGACAAACGAGATAAAAAAGTCTGTTGTTGCTAGTGGTGATTTGTACTGGCGAGAAATAGGAAAAAAAACCTGTATGTTACCAGGTGTGACAAATGCGATAAAAAGATCTGTTGTTGCCACTGGCCACAAATTGAATTTAAAATATCCCAGTAGTTGCCAGTGGTAAAAAAAAACAAATGGAATAAAAAATCCCAATGAATGTTTGTTTATCGCCGCCATAAAAAGTGAATAAAATAAAATTCGAGTTTAATGATAAAAGTATAGATCTTATTTAAAAAATCAGTCTTAGGTAAACATCAGATATTTCCAATACCATATAGTAATTAAAAATCACAGAAATAATCACATAATTTATAGTTATTCAGAAAGTCTGGACACTATAAATATAAAACAGTTAAAATAAAAAAATGCAAAATGTTTAAGTTTACTTACCTAATTTTACATTAACACTTAACATTTTTTTTAATTTTATCTGTTTTGTCTTTATTTTGTCACGATGGAGACAATAAATAAATATTAATTGCGATTTTATATTCTATTTGTTTTTTTACCACTCGCAACTATTGGGCTATCTTAAATTCCTTTTGTCGGCAGTGGCTATAACCACAGACATATATCTAGATAGACGCCGCAAGTGTACGTACTTTGCGTGCCCAAAGTATGTGAAATTCACTTACTTGCCGCTTCTACGCGCTCGACCATTATCGTAGATAAACACCAGTCGAAAACGCAATAATGCATAATTGTGCCATTATAAACTGCAAAAGTACCATAACTGTTAAAAGTCTGCCAACTACGAAATAGTCGATAACTTTTTTTACTTTTAATAGGAATGTTATAAAATTTCATATACACACATTTTGTTTCATGTAGTTCGTATTTACTTTTATATAATCCAATTGATAAAAGCTCTTTAGAATGCATATAAAAGGAAAAAATGTGAAAACGCAATATGTGCAAATATTTAATAAGTTACTACAGTGCTTTGAGATTGTTTTAGGTACTACAACTTCTAGAAGGAGTAGCGTCAATATACGTATTTGCAAGTCCCGGCTGCAAGAAGTGGGACACATGTGCTCCCGAGGCGATTCTAACCGCGACAGGAGGCAAACTCACCGACGTCGTCGGCAACGGGTATAAATACGGTGCTGACGAACCCCGACCGAATAAAACAGGAGTTCTAGCTGCTGTCAATGAGGACTTACACAATTATGCGCTCAGTAGAATACCGCAAGAATTGAAGGATAAATTAGCTAATAAACTTTAATTTCTATTTATTGTACAATGTGTAAATATTGTTTGGTAAAATCGTGAAATATCATTTTGCGCAACATTAATTACTTGAATTATTTTTAAGATAAAAATAGAATCGTAGCAAAGGGGTTTTTTTTTCAATAGTATTATACCCCCAAAAGCTTAATATTACTGCTTACCCAATATCCCTTCGGTGCTCTAATTGGTCTACTTTCCCGATCGGTCCGCTTGTTTTTCCCGATTCATCTATTTCCCATTTCGTCTACTTTCCCGTTTCGTCTACTTTCCCATTTGGTTTACTTTCCCGATCGGTCTACTTTAATCGGTACTAAAAAACCTACCTCAAGTTTGTGGAATTACATCTATTTGCCAAGTTTTATTGAAATCGGTTACCAGAAAGTGCGCGTAACCGGATTGATACCCTAATTTGCCACCCTTAGATGGGGAATACTTCAAATTTAAATGGGATCACTACTGAGGTACCCTCTTTTCACCAAAAAATAATCATTAAAATCGGTTCACAAATAACCGGAGTTATCGCGTAACAAAGAAATACTTACAATAAAAATAGAATTGAGTACCTCCCCTTTTTTTTTAAGTCGATTAAAAAGTAATAGTCTACATGATTTTGATTTTTCAAATCATGATTAACGTCAAGCGGCCATCATTATTAAAAAATGTACTTCATGATTGTATTGCAATTACGCAATTACAAACCTTTGAAAATTTGTAAATCGAGCTTTTTTGTGAAATTTTATTGATTTACATGCTTAAAAAGTGCACCATTTGGTCAAGTGGACCGATCGGAAAAGTAGACCGATCTGGAAAGTAGACGAAATGCGAAACGGACGATTCGGGAAAAACAAGTGGACCGCTCGGGAAAGTAGACGAATAGTGAAAGTGAACCGATCGGGAAAGTAGACGAACTGGGAAAGTGAACCGATCGGGAAAGTAGACGAATAGTGAAAGTGGACCGATCGGGAAAGTAGACAGATTGTACCGAAGGACAGTGTTGGGCGTTAATCAATTAAATTTCAATCAATAATTCAATCAGATTAAAAAATCAACACGACGCGTCGCAATTGATTTTAATTGCAATTGATTTCAATTGAATTGATTTTAATTGCAATTAAATTAAAATCAATTCCGGCCGGTTGGGGGCCCCGGTTGGGGGGCCCGGTTGGAGGCCCGGTTGGGTGGCTCGGTTGGGGGTCCGGTTCGGAGCTATCAGGCCCCTTAACTGTCACCCGAACTGGGTCCTAAACGGGCCTCCAACCGGGGCCCCCAACCGGCCCCCTAACCTGCCCCCAGCAGGCCCCCACAACCAACGCCCTAATTCACCCCTATATGCCTTATAAATTTATCATAATTGTCAATTTTAACTGTTAATTGTTAATCAAAAACATTGAAAAGATTGAAAATTGATTAATTGTTAATTGTAGATATTTGCGATTAACGATTGATCAATTGTTAGTTGCGAGAACCGCAATTAACAATTCTAACACAACTAACGATTGATCAATCGTTAATTGCTGTTTCGCAATTGACAATTAATCAATTGTCAATCTTTAATTGCCAGAACAATTAAATTTTGCCCAACACTGCCGAAGGACCCAATATAGCCTTATTCTGTCGCAAACAAATGTAAAAAAAACCGAGCTCAAGTTTTATTTATAATTAATGTATGTACTTGACAAGTTATATTGAAAGCGATTAACGGAAAGAGGGTGAAATTCAATAAATCGGATTCGTCCCCTAATTTCTGCCCTTAAGAGGTGAAATGTTCTTTAAGTGGATATGGTACGACTACGGGATACCACCCCCTGTTCAACAATACTCTTCATTCTTCCTTTTTAGAAGTCGGTTAAAAAATAGCTTATAAACTAAGTGCTTCTACAAGGCTCAATTTGTATTGCGGCGGAACGGAAGCGTAAAATTCGCGAAGGCGCGCTCTGGCCAGCGACATCTCGAACATTTCGCGACTGTGCCTTGAGCCTGTAGTATTTCGTCGACGTTTGACGTCACACTGCGCCTGCCGTCGCGCCAATTCCCGCGGATTCGTCAGGCGTAGCCTAGACAGTTGAAAAAATTGGAAGACGCGCGACTTGCGCTTTTTTGGCTTGTATCTAGTTTGTATGTTACACAATTGGTATAATGTTCATTTTGCTATCTACAATTTCGTTAGAAAAATTCGCATCGAATGGAAGCGATCCGCCGCAATGTAAATTGAACCTTCTTAAGGAACATCACAGCAAGCAATGGCAACAATGTAAGATAAAAATGTTCTTCCTAAAATACACTGGATGGATGTATAAAAATACGTATAAAAACGCAACAGTTTTATTAGTTTATTAAGCTAATACCACAGGTACCGTCTTTAATACATTTGTTATAATAATTAACAGTTTGGCGTTAAAGTTTGCTTTTTTGTTTCTCTTGCAACATTTCTCTCAACCCTCGTCGCAAAATCTTGCCAGACGCATTCTTCGGTATTTCAGTCACGAAGATAACACCGCCGCGCAAGTGTTTTGCACTTGAGACCTGGTAAAACGCACACGCATTTAAATTAATAATATTTTTAATGATAATAATTTAAGAAATCGCACACCTCATGGAAGAATGGCATAAGTGGAGTTACGTTAAGAACGTTTATTGCTTCTTTAGATGCAGAAAAATAACATCTTTTGTAACACAGACGCATTGTCTAAATCAATAATAAATTGCTTAAGATCAGACCATAGTGGCCAATTGGCTTCTTTTAATTGTAAAATGAGCAAGAATTATATGATTTCAAAATAATATCGGCAATAGTTTAATTTCCCTACCCCATATACTGGAGGTTCCAAATACTTCTTTACATAGCACGATATTTAGTTTAATTAAAATGAATTTGATAATGTATTTAAATCTAAAACATTAACTTTCCACAGAGAGACTAAATTCGACGACTGGGCAACAGTAGGTATATGAGTAGGTCTCGTTTGTATGAGCTATATGCTATGAAAACTTAAAACACTAATTCCACTTTTATAGAATACGAGCCCTGTATCCCACCTACGGTGGGGTCGGGCTCGGCCTGCGGCACGAGGTCGGATTCAGTTTACGGGGTGTGCTCAAGCTCCTCGATGGCACAGCAGTTAGTACTACGGGCGCTTGATGAGGAGTTCGGTTCCCGATTTGGGCAAATTTAAGAAACGAACATTGCATTTCTAGTTGGTTTTGGTCTGAGTATTCTGGGTATCGTTGTTTCGATATTCATAGTACAGAAAATTCGGCAGCAGTTTGGCATTTTTTCCCCTAAATACTTCTCTTTGGCATAGCTTTCAAGAAATGGAATCTAACAGAGAGACGATCGAGATACAATAACGCTATAATAAGTATCTCATTTCCACCACATTAGCTGAATTCAGTTGAATTAGAGCTAATTTTTATAAATGGCGAAAAAACAATTTTGATCACAAATTATTATCAAGCACTCCTAGAGACCCCCATATTCTAATTTTAGAAGGGATCTGAGGAATTTTTTTGTCTGTCACCAACGAACGCTTCTATGACGGCCACATTTGAAAATGGCGAAAAACTAATTTTGAGCATAAATTATTATACTTCTAGAGGCCTTCACAAGCTAATTTTCAGCGGATTCAGAGCCAATCTCTTTCGGCAGCTATTTTTAATGAAAAGAAAAAACACTTATATGGCAACCATATTAAAAATAGCGAAAAGAAACTATTGACCCCAAATTATGATTAAAGACTCCTAAAGACCCTTGCATGCCAATTTTCAGCCGGATCGAGGCAAGTTTTTCTTCGGCCGCCATTTTTAAATCGCCATCTTGAATTTTTTTTAACCCAGGCAGTTGGCCAGTGTTACCCTCTACGATATTTTCGAGCTCCTCCTACCTATCGCTAATAGTTTCCGTGATAGGGGGCTTTGTATGGCGGCCATCTTATTTATTTGAATTTCGAACATTTTTTACTTCCCGCGGAAATTGACCAGGGTGTACCTCATAGCGATAGGATTAGACAATCGATAAATAAATCTAAAACTACTTGGAGCATAATAAATAAAGAGTCACTCACTCGCCCTATAAATTTATCATAATTGTCAGTTTTTGTTTGTGTCAGTAGTTATAAAATTAAAAAAAAAATTATGAACAAATTATAATACAAAATATATTTCTATACAGTGCAATGAACTTAATATTATCAGTAGTTTCAAATTTGAATGATTTTTGCGTCATTTTGATATATCCATAGTCAATACCGCAGTAATCACTGAACTCGAATGGCAATTCTCGCACTCAAAACGGTTCGAACCGATTTGTGCGATAATCGTATGAACTTGAAAAAATGTCATACGAGATCGTGTTTACACAAGTCGAAAACTCGTAAGCAAGAATCTCCTTACTACATATTTATCTGTGTAAACAGTCGAGGAGGCGATTAAGTTGCTTGCGAATCTCGTATGACATAATCGTAGGCGAGATTTTAGTTCTTGCCTGAATGTAAACATTATGATACGATAATCTTATGGCGATTATTGCTTACGATAATCGCCTACGAGTTTTCGTCACGAAGCGTGCGAGAAACTGTCTCCATCTAAATGGGCCTTAATGCTTACGATAATCGCCTACGAGTTTTCGTTACGAAGCGTGCGAGAAACTCTCTCCTTCTAAATGGGCCTTTAGACGGCAAACTTATAAAATGTAAAGACACGGTAGCCCAAGCTTATGAATCGTTCTTTTTGGAAATAGTTGTGAACAAATCTAAAGACAAAATAGCCCAAGCTTATGAATCGTTATCTTTTTCTGTTCTAATTTCCCCACATTTAGCTGTTGCTTTCAATAGGTGCGTTGACGAAGGTGTTTTTCCCGATTTAATGAAATACAGCAAAGTTATTTCCTTATTCAAAAGCGGTAGGAAAGTTGATCCTAGCAAGTATAGGCCAGTGTTGGGTGTTAATCAATTAAATTTCAATCAATAATTCAATCAGATTAAAAAATCAATTCAATTGATTTAATTGCAATTGATTTTAATTGCAATTGATTTCAATTGAATTGATTTTAATTGCAATTAAAATCAATTCCGGCCGGTTGGGGGCCCGGTTGGGGCCCCCGGCACCCCCAACCGGCCCCCTAGCCTGCCCCCAGCAGGCCCCCACAACCAACGCCCTAACTCACCCCCATATGCCCTATAAATTTATCATAATTGTCAGTTTTAATTGTTAATTGTTAATCAAAAACATTGAAAAGATTGAAAATTGATTAATTGTTAATTGTAGATATTTGCGATTAACGATTGATCAATTGTTAGTTGCGAAAACCGCAATTAACAATTGATTAATTGCGGTTCTCGCAACTAACAATTGATCAATCGTTAATTGCTGTTTCGCAATTGACAATTAATCAATTGTCAATCTTTAATTGCCAGAACAATTAAATTTTGCCCAACACTGCTATAGGCCCATTTCAATTTTACCAGCTTTAGGTACAATATTCGAAAAGGTTATGCTGACTCAATTACTGTCCTATTTCGGTAGGAATCATATTTTTCATAGTGAACAATACAGGTCTACTAGTGGTAGATCGAGTAGCGATGCGGGGGTAGTCCCAGCACGCTATTGGTGTTTTCTGTGACCTCTCAAAGGCATTTGATTGCGTTGATCATATTACTCTTTTTAGGAATATTACGGTGTAAATGGCAATGGCTGGTCATATTGCAACGGTAGAATTCAGAAATTAGACATAAATGGAGTGACTTCTTTGGGTTCTCCGGAAAAAATGGGAGTTCCGCAGGACTCAATACCTGGACCTTTTTTATTTCTGAATTATATTAATCTCTGCCATTCTTTGTTAAGGACCATTGCGAAATAGTATTGTTCCCTGACGACACATACTTGATTTTTAAAACAGACAGACATGACATTAAATAGACCATATTAATGATACCCTCTCTAAGGTAGTTTATTAGTTTAATGCTAACAATTATTGCTTAACGCCAAGAAGACGAAATGTGTTAAATTTGAATTATCTAACGTAAAATCGACTAGTCTAAGCATAGAAATGAACGGAGACAAGTTAGACCGTGTTAATAAAGCAGTCTTCTTGGGAGTGACCTTAGATAGTAAACTTCACTGGTTTCCACATATGTCTTCACTGGCCAGCAGATTAAGCTCCGCTGCATACGCGGTCCGCAGTATACGTGAGCTTACCGATGTTAGTACTGCTACACTAGTTTACTTTAGTTACTTCCGTAGTATAATATGATACGAGATTCTCATGTGGGGTAAAGCGGCAGATATTTAAACCATATTTGTATTGCAAAAACGAGCAATTCGTTCTGTGTACCGTCTAGGCTCTCGGGTTTCTCTCAGAGAAAAGTTTAAGGAAACTGGTATCATGACTGTGGCATCACAGTACATTTACTCAATTATTTTATATGCCCGTAAAAATATACATAATTTCAATAAGAAAGAAGATATCCATAATATTAACCTTACAGCTAAGTCCAAACTCACGGTACCACGATTTCGTTTAACCAAGGTAAACTACTCCTTTATGGGGAACTGTATACGTTTTTACAATAAGATTCAGGAGTTTATATTAAGATTATCATTTCCTAAGTTTAAAAACCACATTAAAAATATTTTGATTGAAAAGTCATATTGCTAAATTAAAGACTACGTATTAGATAAAGATGTATGGAAAGACGACATGGCTCCAGAATCCACACAAATTTGATTCAAAGTGTATTTCATAGCATTTAAGTTTATTTGAAAAGAGTAATCCGCAGAGTTTCTTGCTCGTTCTTCTCAGGAAAGTCAGCGTAGTGAACGAGCAGTAGCTTAAATATGACGTTTCCAAGTATAAATTTATTTTACCTATGGAATAAATGATTCTTTGACTTTGAATGTTGTAGATAGCGTAAGAAGAATTGGAGAGGATGTGGGATATATTTTTCGGTATCTAATAGAGCTATAAACATGTTTGACATTAACTCCACTTATGCCATTGTTCCATGAGGGGTGCGAAATGTTCAAGTCATTTATCAATAATTAATATATTATATTTATCACGTTAGTGATAGAACGCAGTAATGTTCGATGACGAGTAACGACGCTCCTAAATCTGTCTAAGGCCGCAAATTCAGAACGGCGCGACGCATGCAACGGAGCGTTGTTACTATTAATCATATTAATTATGTTTACAATCTGTAGGTAAAACAAAAATAATAATGTGACAACCCTACGCTCCTAGCGAAGTGTAGTCACGCGCCGAAAAGGTGGGAGTTGCCCTACTTGTTTTATGCTATGGCCAAGTCTGGGAATTAGGTTCGGATGTAGTGAGATGAGCAAAAGTCAGGGTATATTTAGAGTAGGCGTTACAGGTGAGCACAGTGAGTGTGGGATGCACTCACCCCACCTCCAATTTCCATATACTGCAATTTTATTTATTTAATTAGTTAAATAGTACTACTAACCTTTGATCCGACGTATTTGACAATATCGCTCTCAGTGACCTTGACGCCAGGTTGTGGAACAACGAAGGCCAGTGGCAGTTCGCCGGCTACCTCGTCTGGTAGACCCACTACGGCGCAGTCTGCGATCGCAGGGTGCTGTAAAAGTAGAGCTTCCAGCTCTGCGGGTGCCACCTATGAATAGACATAAGACCGATCAACAATCCATATACGTTACTGCTGGGCGCGGGATCCTTTGTGGAAGTAATGAGATCCGTGTTTCGTTTATTTGTACATATTCTATACTTTAGGCTCATGCAAACGATAAACGTCAACGTTCTACAAATAGTGGCAGGCAGTGTTAATATTGCTTAAACCTATAACTCTAACTCAAAGTTGTCTATATCAACCCCTAGGGGTCCACTCACCTACAAGAGGTCGTGTCAGCGGAAAAAATAGAGGGTGCTGAGACGTTAATGGACGTCTACAGTGGATCCCGTTGAGGCAGGTCGTGACCATAATTTTGACTTACCAGATGGAATAATTCACATTACTATTATATTGCATAAAAATTAAATCAAATCATTTATTTCATTATAAAGTTGTTACAAGAATGCATTTTGAATCATTGTGATCCGCCTTATTAAGTGCTTGGCTATGTGTGTGTCCATGGCAGTGCGGGGCTATGTTGAGTGTGGGCGTTATTATTATTATTATGGTTAATTTCTATTTTGTAAATCTTAACGCTAAATAGTATTACATATGTATCTACATTTTTGGGTGTTTCTTTTTAATAGGGCTACGTAACGAATGTATGTAGAAGGTCATTGTAATTCGTAGGTAATTAAAATAGCAACACTTAACATTCATGTGTTTGTTTACATACTTTCGTATCGCGACGGGCAGCACAAAATATAAAATTACTTTAGCTATGGTTATTTTATGTGTAGAATAAGTTATCCCGTGAAATGAAGTGAACTAGTATCTAGTATATTGTGTCCTAATAAGTCAACACGTATTAGGACACAATATACTAGATACTACAATATATATACATCTATCTATATATATATATAGGTAGATAGGAAAACTCCTAATAAGCGCCTTTTTAACGGAAAAGAAATTTTGTTAAAGCAAGTGCTTTTTGTTTTTTCAAAAAGCTTCGGCTTTACCAAGGAAAATTTTCACGTCCAGCCACTCGCAAGGTTCTAAAGTAAAAAAGTGTAAACACGCGGTAGTTAATAGTGAACCAACTATATGATACTTAACATGTGTTTTTTACAGTTCCTCGCTTTACAGGTAAACTTATCTACTAAGTGTGTAGCATTGGAAACGCGGGGGATCTAGGCGAAACAGAAAAAATTACGAGACAAAAAATTTTGGGAACATCTGGCCTAAATTTTTTATAGCGGTGATATAAGAAATGAAAGGAGTAATAAAAGGGTGACCCACTACTAATATAAATTATTCAATGTGCCTGTTTTTATCTTGTAAATTATATTAACAAAAAGCATTTAATACTAGTAAACTTGGTGAAAACTTAATTGCAATATTTTTTTTTTATTACGCACACACTCAACATAGTCCCGCCCTATGGATACCCTATGTCGCGGGTGCCATGGACACACATAAACAACCACAAATTACACCCAAACTCACGAGAGAAATAAATGTAGGCCATTCAAATATTTCTCCCGGCCCGGGAATCGAATCTAGGACCTTTGCGTGGCAGTCCGGCATGGTAACCGTTCGGCCACCACGGTGGCAGTTATATATTTGTTTATTGATGAATTAGTCAAGTAAGGCTAAAGCTAAAACAATCAATACAACTTAATATACATACCTGGAATCCCTTATACTTGATAAGTTCTTTTAAACGATCAACAATAAAGAAGTATCCTTCGTTATCATAATAGCCAATGTCACCAGTTCGTACATAACCCTCGGCATCGAACAAGGCGTCGCTGGAAGCCATATCGCCCATATAGCCTTTCATACGGAGTGGAGACTTAATCCACAATTCACCTTCTTGCTTCGGACCTAATTTCTTGCCGGTTTCTATGTCTATCACCTGCATAACGATAAAATTTGTTATCCAACTATTTTTGTTATGGTATCGGAACGAACAAGTCGTGCACCTGGTGGTAAACGACACGTTTGCCCAGTTTCAACAGTTGCAGTGCCACAAAGATTTGAGGGGCACTGCCACTGCGCCCGTCACCCTGAGACATAAGTTGACAAATCTCATGTACCTGCAATTTCACCAGCTGAAATAGGTAAAGTGGCAGTACCTCCCCGAACGAACTTTTGCACAAGGAGCTTTACTGCTACTAAATATCCAAAATGTGAATGATAATACTAAAATATTTACATTAATGTAATGTCTTTTTTGTGGAGAAAAAGAAACTTTATTATGTGTAACTTACAACCCATAGTTACACGAATTATAGAGACTGCGCGAAAATTCTCCGGAAAATGCGCGACCTGTTTTTGGCTAGGATATATATAGTTTGTACATTACACAGCTGACGTAAATTTTATTATGCAATGGTTACACAAACTCGTTATATTCAAGGTTTTGTTTTGATAATTTTTAAAATAAAAATGGGCCGTCGGGGATAGTGTAATCGCAGGCAACTAGCATTGTGATATTTTATTTCCTAAAGTATGTCGTGTCATGTAATGTCGTGGCAACCAAATTATCGTGATTTGCGAGTATCTATTGTTATTAGTCCTCCGTAGACAAGATAAATTATTGCATACTGTGCAAAAATGAATGTAGTAGCTATTGAAATAACAAAGTAATAGCGTTAAATCCCTCTCCTGTAAAATTTGGTTTAGTGCGGATATATATATTTACCAATACTACATACTCGGATTTGCACTATTCCCGACGATGTGGCGAAATTGCTTATTTGTCGCAGAAGACCTGGAGGTTTGAAATACTACGGAGCCGTCTTCAGAGCCGAAGAACTGATGATATATTCATAAATTTGATATGTGTAGAAGCAGATAATGTAAACAAGTTATTGATTAGTAAACAAACTATTATCCCAAACCTTTTAACTAAGAACTAAACCAATTATTTAATAAATCATTCCCAACTAAATACAGGAATACAACCAAATAAAGGTTGCCCTCAACCTGGACCGCACTATACCGGTAACGCTTTACTACTCTATGCGGTACAGTGGAAGTCTATAGGTACAAAATAAAAAAAATCTACTCGTGAAATCAGTATTTTTTTATACTTCCTTACAGAGGGTATTTTTATTACTTCGAAACAGTAACAGCTGACGTTGGCGTATATAAGTTGTAAAAAAATTGTACGAATACATCGAAGTCTTAACGTGGGTCCACATTTGTGCATTTCAACGCACCAGACTCAGTTATCGTAACAGATACGCGTGACAAAAAAACACAAGTATGTCCGGCGGACAAATGACACGCTACGATCCACGAGTGAGCCTTTGAGACGAAACGCATATTTTGCCATGACATCACCGCGTGACATTGTAACAGGTTTGGACGGCTTAGAGGATGGAATTCCCATAGTCTAAAGTGGACGGTGATTTTGTACTGTCACGCTCCGATGTCACATGCCACGATCCGATCCGTCGCAAGGCGGTTTCTTCAGAGATTTTTCTGTCCTTGTCCGGGTGTAGCAACCGACCACACTTTTGTGTTTGTCACGCGTGACAGACACGCCGCAATTTTCTGCTACAGCTGGTCACGGATCAGATCGGCAAGCAGTCGACGCGCACACGCTGAATAATGGTTGAAAAAAATTGATTGAATTGAAGACGATTGTTTTTCATACGAAAAGATTTATCAAGAAATGAAACTATTGGATCTAAACTATTAGAACTATATACCATGGGATCTGTAAAGGGCCCGAAACGTCGGTTTGTTTGAAAAAACAAATATACGCGATTTAAATCCGGAAAAATAGTTTCATTTCCTATGTGTAACAATCGCGAAAACCTAAGAACTCGATATAAGAAATGAAATGTTATTTTCGACAGTTTTAAATATATAGTTTTGTCAAAGATATCAAAACATTGAATACTCTATTGGTCACGGGTTTCCGTCGTGTTAACATCATTGAAGTATGAATTGGTACAAAAAATGTATAAATATGCTTGTCAAAGCTATAAAGAAATATAAACTGTAAATATGCATTATTACGTTATTACAGTCGATCCACATACGTAGCAAGTACCCGTGACATGTCACGGACTCTCGGTGCGTTGAAATGTTGCAACTGTGGCTAAGGACTAAAGTTAGTTGTTGTAACAGCAAAAATGCTGCATGCGTTTTAAGTGTTTTCGGGTTAATAAAACATTTTGGTTAATATTTTTTCTCTATCTATCTGATAGATTGACGATCTGCGAAGGGCTGCTATATTAACCCACACACTCCACATAGCTATACCCAGCAGTAGACTTCGATAGACTAATGAATATTTTTTTTTAGTTTTTAGTTAGAATGGTGTTTCCACATATTGGTAGAGGTATATTAATCCATTGCTGTACCGCTAAAGTCCGTTAAATTACCTTAATTTTCATGCCAGGTGCAGGCGGACCGCAGGAACCCTCCTTGACTCTCCCCAGCACGTCAACACAACAAGCCATTGTCACCTCGGTCAGTCCGTAGCCTTGACGGATTAGTGGGATGCCAGTCCTACAAATTTTCCCTTTCTATTGTATTTTGGAACCCACATGCTATTGTTAACTCCATCTTACCACTACTTGATATTGTATGTATAGTAATATAGTCAATTATCAGCACCGCGGCCAAAAGCATTTTTTAAGTAGTCATGTCATCAAACCTTGAGCGTAAAGTACTTATTGCGCTTATCTTTAATTAATATCTTTAATGAATAGGCGCAGTGCTGATGTGTCTTCGACATGATTCACTCATAAGTTGCATAATTTAAATGTATTCCATTCATGCAGTTCTTCCCATCTCAACCCAATTTCTAGTCATTCAAAACTATAGTTACTGTTTTATAGGTAGATGGACCATTCTCATTTCTGCAACTTTTTTTGTGCATATGTATTAAAAAAACGATATACGTGTATAACTTAGTCAATTCCTATTTAAAATTAATCGAGGTAGTTTATATTAATATGGTTTTTACTTAAATTTACACAATATAAATATTTATTTAAATCATCATTAAGAAAGTGACGAAAATGTCACTTCCATGTCGTGTGCAAAGTCCATTTACAATGATACAAACTATAAAGACACTATACCTACTATATAATATTTTACGATAATACATAGAATAAACTTTCTAAAAGCGAAAAGAATAAAAGAATAAGCATTATCTATTGATCAAATGTCAGAAAGAAAACAGAGAAAGGAATGGCTTAAGAGGCTAAAAATTCGCAGAGATAATAAATAGAACACGCAGCGAAAGACTTTTAATCTGTCTGGGTGGTGATTCACCGCCTTCAAGCGACATCGAAAATCAACCGATGAACCGATTGCGCATCTTCCTTCTATTTCAAACATTTCCTTCTGTCCCAAGCATACGATCTTGTTCTGTTTCAAGATGTCTTTCATCATCCAGATACTCATCTCCATCACTATTGGTAAATTACTTGCTTAAGAGACGTGATTCACAAAGTGACAGTAGGTAGTATATATACCCAAATCCCAATATACCCAAAGAGGATTGAAGACTGCAAAAAGTAATTGAAATAGTGGTGAAATTAGCCGAATAGAATTGAGACGTTTCCGTTCCAAAAAATCATCCTTAAAACTTTTTTACAAACACGACTTAGACCAGAGGCGTCCCCTGACAGAACGGGACGGCAGTCGATCCTTCAGTAACCCTATATGCAAGCACACACTGACGGCAATTATGTTGCGGCATCTTTAAACATGCCACGGTACCCTTAGACATAGACATAGACTTAGACATAGCCGGCAGGTATCTTTAGGTGTGCTGAAGCACACCGTCGCTACAACGTTGCGTGACGTGTATTGAATGCTATAGTTGCATGGCGTCAAGCTAATGGTTAAGCACATCGCAGCTTCATTTTGCAGCTACGATCATTATCACTAAAATTGCAACTATAAAGCCATAATCTTAAGGTACATTACTATTCGTCACCTAAAAATCCCTTGCCGTCCCGACCTGTCAGTGGGCACTGGGACTAACTTTATTACATTTACAGGATTTTCTTTTATAATTAAAACGCCTTCATTTTGATAAGGTAATAACATCTTGCTTAGCTGGTGAAAATGAAAGAGGCTTACTTTTTTATTAGGTCAAATGACAACAAAAAAAGTTCAGTAAATAGTGACCTTATAGTAATTAGTGTTTTGTAAATTTCATTTTATTTAAATTGTTTAACTGTTTTCAATGTTATAAAGCTGAATGTTCCATCATTATTTTACCATGGACCATGATAAACTAACAAGGCCATTGCCTTTTGTACTCCAAGACTAAAAATTTGATAATATGAAAATGTCACAACATCATACTTATTTTGCATTTTCCCAAAAAGTAAAAATTTTGTGGTGATCACTTTCATTCTAAAAGTGCGAAGTGTTAAGTAAATAATATTGATTATAAAAACTATTATTAGACATACACCAGTATGTCTAATAATAGTTTTTTCTCTTAGACAAAGAATAGCTAACATTTGCGAGTCGAGCGTACGTGTCATTGGATCTCATACCATGTTATCGGTTAATAATAATTGTTATTTAATTTCTTATTCAAAATTTTGTCATACTACAGATTTGTAATGTCTGAAATAAATGTTTATTATTATGTTACCTCGCAGTGATTGTTTTCTGGACTTCGCTGGAGAGCGGCGCAGCCCCGCACCAGATCTCGTTAAGTGACGTCAAGTCGTAATTGGTCACCAACGGGTGTTTAGCCAGGAACACAGCTAGTGGCGGTACTAAAGTTGTCATGTTTACCTGGAACATTTACGCATTGACTTATGTTAGTCCAGGCTCCTAATATATTAGGTAGGTATACCGGTGGTAGGGTACATCTCGGTGACGAAGCAGTTCGATCGCGAAACGACGCCCGCGTACGTACGTACTAGAATTGTGAGCGCGAGACCAAGATTGGCCCACGCTCGAAACGACCGCGCTCGTCAACGTGGAACTGATCGACACGAACGACAACTCGCCGCTGTTTACGCAGAGCAACTACTCGGCCTTGGTGCGCGAAGATCAGCTTCTCGGCCACACCATCTTGGAATTCGACGTGTAGGAGTAGGAGTGTTCTCTGTGCGCAACCCGCCTGGTTAGGTTCCCTATTTATCTCCATTATTTTGATCCAACAAAACCAGATGATGTGTGGGGTGCACGAAAGGAGACTCCTCCCACGACGTCATGCACTCGAAGAATATTAGAAAAACAATGTGTCAACAAGGCCAGGTTGAAAAAAAATCAATACCGTGTGGCACACAGCGACAAGGATAAATCCTGTACCTTTCACGGGCTTTCGTTGTTCCGATAATATTGTTATACATACTCGTATGTTCTGTTTCGTATATTGTGTGTGGTATGATTTAAGTACAAAACTATTTTTTTTTCTGATTTTAGTATACTCACATCGCCATTACGAATAATCAGATGGATTCACCAAAAATAAAAATCGAGAATAAATGAATCTAATAATACTTCCGTTCTTGTGCTCAGTGCGCCATCAATGCCACGTCTCCAAGTTGTGTCCCGGCTCCAAGCGAAAATGCTGTTAATATCAGCTTGGAGTAGATCAAAGTCCGCGGTGCACTTCACCGGTAAAGCGAGTTTGACATCGTTAGCAAACATAAGGCAGACAGAAGATTTTACAGATGTAGGAAGGTCATTTACAAGCAGTAAAAAAAAGGAGAGGGCCGAGACTGCTACCTTGCCCTATACCAGAAGCAACTGTATAAGGGGAAGATTTAAAGTTTTCGTATTCAACGTACTGCTTTCTATCTTGAAAATACGCGAAGAATTTCATTAACTGAGTAGTAAATCCCGCAACACCCATTTTTATAAATAATTGGTCATTGTTGACCCGATCAAAAGCTTTTCGGAAGTCGAAATAGGCAACATCAACCTGAGTATTCTGATCCATTTTTGACCCAATTAAGGTAGTTAAATTCAGAAGATTGGACGTAGTTGAGCGCTGCGGCAAAAAAACCGTGTTGTTCGTCACAAAACCATCCACGCAGCTGTAATGGTCGAATAGAGCACAGTTTCGAATATTTTTGCAAATACTGAGAGAATAGCAATAGGCCGGTAATTTCTTATATCACCCTTCAACGATACTCTTGTGTACAGGTATTGCTTTAGATTAATTTCCAACGTCGTGGGTATAAGTTTGTTCCAATTGATAGGTTATATAAATAACAAAATGGTTTAACAAATACTTCGCAGCAATCTTTGACCACAAACTGAGGGATCCCGTCAGGGCCCTGTGTGTATTTAGGTGCTAGGCGTTTGATAGCTTTGCGCACGTCAATCTCGTTAATTCCATCAACACTAATATGTCTCTGGAAAGTGGCAAGATGTGGAAAAGTAGTAGCACTATCATAAGCTTTTTCAACACAGAGATTTGGTAGAGTAGGGAGGAAGACACTTTGAAAAAATTGAGCAAATGAGTCAACTATCTCCTGTGGGCCCGTGGTACCAAATGTAGCTGGCTGACATGACATTTTGTGCTTCTTCACAAACGCCCAGAATAATAAAGGATTTCGCTTGATATCACCCTGAACCATTTTATAATATTTAATCAAATCGCATTTTGATCCTCTCAGAACCATTTTCCTATAGTAGTAGAAGAAACCATAATAGAGCTGATAGTTTGTTTCTTTGTACATTTTGTGAGATTTGTTTTTGAGTTTGTTTAAATATATAGTCTCAGCAGAAAACCATACCGGATAGTTAGTAGGCTTACTAGGGTTCTTAAATGAAATAATGTAATGTTGTACTGACACTGTCTCTTGTTAATCTTCTGTTATACCATGTTTTAGGCAAATAAACTTACCTAGTATTAATATTATGTCTGATATTATGATTATCGATAATGTTGTTACAATTATATAAGCAATTTTATTTATCGAGTACTTAGGTTTTCGCGATTGTTACACATATATTTGTTTTTCAAACAAATTAGGTTTGTTTGAAAAACAAATATACGCGATTTAAATCCGAAAAATTTTTTCATTTCCCATAATTTTATTTATATGCAAATTAAATGGAAGTATTAGATTCACCTAAATCAAAATCACTGATATTAATTCTATACCAATACATAAATACAAAACAGCTTAAACTATTTGGAAACCTTTTAAAAAAAATCTAATATCAGTCTTGAGATTGGAAAAGCATAGAGATCACCTGATTTAAATTATTTTTCGTAATATGTGAGCATTTATAAATGCAAAATAATAAATTCAAAATATCATATCTATCATCCCGGATATTCCCATATGACAATGAATATTGATATACTTTAAGTAAACATTTTAATCATAATTTGATTACAGTAAACTATACAAATTACAAACAACAAAAAAAACTATTTCAATATTCAAGCCATACATTTGCATGTCGATATTGACTTATCGATGATGGTACAACACTAAAGACATCCGCCAGTTGTGGTGGACATTTTAGGTAGGCACGTTTATTCCGTAGATAAGGCAGCTCCTTTCTTTTATTTTTTTTCATCGTCTAAAGACAACAACACAATATCCCTATTGCCCCCATCATAAACATGTTTGTGCCGCCATTTTGTCGTGTCATAGATGTCATTCGTTCTTCGTTTCTCGTAAATTTGGTTTAGTGCGCGATATGCGCCTTTCACCAATGCTACATACGGATTTGAGTCAACCTTCATCGGTATCACAACAAGTATGTTTTTTATAAAGGGGTCCACTCTAGACCATAGTATAGGTTTTAGTTGTTGTAATCTTAGAATAATAACGCATAGAATGAGTTTCATATCAAACGAACTGTCACAAGTGAGGCAAAAATCAAATTCATGTAGGCGTAAGCAACTTGTATCTACGCTCGTCGGCACGCCCACAAATATACTAATAATGATGCCAAGAAATAACATTTCCCTCAAAAGTGGGGAAATTGTATCTTGCTTAACTCATCATTAAGTTAAAGGTGCCTACATATTTGCCCGACATTGTCGATCAGGTGCCTACAGATTTGCTCGATTTTGTCGGTCAGGTGCCTACAGATATGCTTGGTTTTGTCGATCGACAATGTCAAGTGGCAAGAATTTTCAAAAATTTATTTTTGGTAATACTTATGGAAATGGCATTTATACCTGAATACACGATGACAGACACGACTTTTCAAATAAATGCAATATGAGAATCATTTTCGAGGTATTCGAGGTGCTCATTTCGAATATGGCACTCATTTCTAAATCTAAGATGGCGGGCACGATTTTTCGAATAATGGCAAGTGGGTATCGTTTTCAAGGTATTTGGGGGTGCTCATTACAAATATGGCACTCATTTCTAAATCCAAGATGGCGGGCACGATTTTCCAAAAAAATGCTATATGCATATCATTTTCGAGGTATTTGGGGAGCGCTTCAATTTGCCTCACTTAGCGTGTGCGGACTAGGTTTCTATGGTTGTAATAAATTTTGTTTAAAAGTGCATTATTGATAACGTTTTTTATTAAACTTATTATTAGTGTCATGCTCTACAGAGCATTTGTAACATGAATGTGAAGGCGTTTCATTATTATGAAATTTAACAATTGAAATGTAGCCGAATTAACTTATATTTAGCATATTTTTTTATACGTACATAACACACAGCGTTTAGTGTATTGGCTAATTTCTAAAAAATAGCTAAAATTGCATCTGTAAGTATTAATTAATAGTACGTAGCGTGGCTACAAGACTTCTCCGTAGCAACGCCACCGTAATTATTATTATTTTCTTTTAAACTAATAGTACAGATACACAAAAAATACATGTACATCATGTACGTCAGCCGTATATTACAATGGGTAATATCATAATAAAAAAATTGGGTGGCGTGGCTATAAAGCATGACACTATTTATTAATTGTATGTATTAAAATTATCCTTACCTTATATTTCTGTATAGTTTCCAAATATTGCTTCTCATCAAAACGTATAAGGAAAACAACTTGGAAATTCAAGGACATCATTGCACACGATGTAATAAATCCATACGCGTGGAACCAAGGAATCAGGGCGAGGCCTGTTTTTATCGTATGCTTTCTGTGTCCCACTGAGCAGTTTAAGTAATATCTGAAACCGTGAATGTATTAATAATTTATAAAGAGGGGGAAAAACTGGGGTTATTATTGATACAAAGATCGAACAAACTCAAAGAAAAATTCCTTCCATTCGAGTGAACACGAGCCAGTGTTTGTTGCCCCAACGAGGCTACAGCTCGTACCAACCGAGATACGGATCCAACCAGCAGAACTTGCCATCTTTTCTATGTGTTGCTACAGATCCTTCTATTGGGTTTAAAGGTTTTTTTTTTGCTATAGCGCCACGTGAGTGAACTTATCGATCCTCCAATAAACACTACGCCAACTTTATTTTTTGGTAATTTTTCTGTTATTTTACAGCTATATTTATTTATTTACTAATATTATGCTCCCCGAATTTTGCGAAAAAAAGTAAAAAAACAAAATTTAAAAAAAAGACAACGAATTTTGAGAAAAAAAAATAAAAGCAAAAACAGATAAAGTCCAAAAATTTAGTTGGCGTAGTGTTCATTGGAGGTATCGTTATGAAAGTTTCTTCACTGGACTTGTTTTCCAAATTTGTGTAACCAAGGAACCAAATCTGTGATCTCCTCATGCAGTACCCATAACCCTTGAGCCACCGAAGTCCGTAGAGCTCCTTGTGAAAGAGCTCGTCTCGGGAAGTACTGCCACCTAACCTATTTCTGCCGCAAAGCAGTAATGTAGCATTACTACGTTCCAGTTTGAAAAGGTAACTAACGGTGCTGGTGAAATTACAGGCACTTGGGACTTGTCAACTTATGTATCAGGGTGACGTGCACAGTGGCAGTGCCACTAAGATCTTTGAGATTACAAGCTCTGAGTGTCAATGGAACTGTTATGGAAGGGCGTTCGCTTACCACCAGGCGCACGACTTGTTCGTCCCGTCGTCGCTTGGTATTATATAAAATAATAAAAAAAGGTTATTATGCAAAACGTGAATAAATAATTTATATTCATATTTTTGTTATTATTATGAAATGTACAGTCGATGCCCTAAGAGAAACTTGACCCCCTAACCGACTATTTCGTTCTGAGTTGATAAATGTCTAGAAAAGTGTTAAACAAATTGAAATTGAACCCTTACTTGTGAGCCGTAAAATTTATTTTGGTGTGACTTTGACTTTCCGATTGCATCATTAGGGAATGACATTGTAAGGCTCAACTCACACTGGTGCAGAGTCGAAGCGTCGCGTCGCGACGCGACGCATTAGCGTATTCGGATCACAGTGTGGTCGGCGTCTGACGCATTAAGAGGGAGCAGAGGAAAAATTCCTAATCTTCGATTTGATTTTCGAGGGGTAAATCCACTTTAAAAATAAAATATTGTACGAGTAACTACACGATATATTCAAACACAGACGTTAATCAGAAACATAAAACAATAAAGTTTCCTCAATAGGTAAACATCTAATTTTCACATTTTTCGATTTAGTCTCGAAATGCTACCGGTTATTAGGACAAAAATTAGATAATTATATTTATGCATGATCAGTAGCGAGTACCATAGACAATAGAATTTTGGTTAAAACTAAAAAGCCCCTTTCTGCTGTGGTTTATGAAATTATAATCACGCAAAGTGACACTTTCTTTCTAAATAATTAGAATCCACTAGTTTGTTATAATTATTAATACAAAGATCGAACACTCAGAAAAAATTCCTTCGATCCGGTCGGATTCGAACAGACGTCTTCTTGCATACCGTGCCAGACGCTATACCAACTAAGCCACGGAACGAACCAACGGACCTCACGAATTTTTCTATGTGCTTGCGTCGTGT